CTGCCGCTGCTCCTGCTCTGCTCCTCATGCTGCTGATACTGCTACTGCTCTTCTGCAACTACTAACCCAACACGCAAAGTGTCTGGAACACTACAGTGAACCACAGGCCGCAACGACTATTGCTCCAAAACCCAGAGCACGTAGTGGGTGGCTCTCGACGACTCTCCCTCCCATCGCGCCCAGCGGCCGTCTTTCTCGCCCCATTCGAGCACCTGCAGCTTCCGCAAACTCTACCCCCGACTACAGGGGCCTTAGTAATTAGAATAGGGTTTTGGGGTGTATTATATTATAACCATAATCAGGAACCCCCCCCCAAAAAATAGTGTTGATAATTTTTCTAGGCTCCTATATTACACGGTGTGGGGATGTTTAGGGTTCCGGGTTTTTTGGATAAGGCAAACAGGACTACCATGTTGACATGTTATCTCTATGTGATAAGCTAGTACGGAAAAGGGGCGAACGCTATTCACACCGTGATGTGATGCTGCTGTTGGGCTAGCGAACTTGATTACTCCTCGGTCTACACGGTGCGGTGTGCTCGTGCCCAAGCCGCGAAGCGCCCTGAAACTTGAAAGCAAACAAACAAGCAACCCAGACCTTCCAAAACCCCTTAATTAAGGAATAAACCTTAAATTATAGTAGGATCCCTAATATGATTTAAGGTATATCCCTTTATATTCCTTAATTAAGGGATTTTGGAAGGTCTGGGAAGCAGCAGCAGTTCCCAGCCTTACAAGAAATCGGCATCGTAGCACCATAAAACACTGAACCCTACGCCGCCCCTGACCCCCAATTCGACCCTAAACCCAAAACCCTAAACTAGACAAACCCCCGAACCCCAAACCCCCTAAACCCTCAAACCCTCAACCCTATCATTAGTACCCTTATAGATCCCATATAGGAACCCTTATAGGTTCCTTTAAAGGGACCTTTCGGGGCCCCAACCTGGAAGCGGCGCGCACCGATCGTCTTAATCTGCGAGCGCCCATCCGGCAGCTGACGGAAGCTTTGGATGTAGAGCATGGTGCCAAACCTTCGGTCACTTCTAAGGACCTTTGAGGGTATGTGGGTTTAGGGTTTAGGGTTTAGGGTTTATATATATATATATATATATATACATATACATACGGTACCATATATAGGGAGTATAGAAGGGTTTAAGGGTTTAGGGAGCATGGTGCGAAACCTTGGGTCACGGCGTGAAGCGGTGTCTTGTAGGAGGTTTCTAAGAACCCTTAAGGGTATAGATGGTACCATATATTAGGGTTTGGGGATGTTTGGGGTTTAGGGAGCATGGTGCCAAACCACCGACGGCGTGGGGGGTTTAGGGTTCAGGGTTCGGGCTACGCGAAGCCTTTTTGGGGTTCAGCGTTTCGAGCTTAAAGGCTTAGTGCATCTTGTGATTCCTGTTTCTACTTCATAGCTTCAGGGCCCCAGGTTGGCAGGGGTTTCTGGTACCATCGAGTCTAAGCGAGTCTTTGTACGGGCTCTGGGGTTTGGGGTTTAGGGTTCTATAATGCTTCAGGGTCTAGGGTGGAAGGACTTCTGCTGCAGGGTGTGGAGCATGGTGCCGTAATACGGAGGCCAAAATAATTACCAATACGAAGGGGGTCCTTAGCATAGTTATAGTATAGTGGGCCCCGAAACCCTAAACCCTGAACCCTAAACCCTATTCTAACTATTAAGGCCCCTATATTACCTCCGGCCCGCAAGGCTTGGGTGAGGAGATTGCCTTTCGGCATTTAGGTTCCTGAGTGGCCCCTTAATAATAAGGATACCCTGTTTCCTACTATCTGGTTTTGATAAGAGAACCCGGACAGAAAAGCGGCAAAAAGGGTACCACTCAGGAGCCCAGGGCATTTCATTTAGATTTAGGGCTTAAGGTTTAGCAGGGTACCACTCCTGGGTACGGAGTGTAAGGTGTAGAGTCCGGGATTAACAGCCTTGCGTTTCGAAAAATCTCAGGGAGACTTGAAGGGCCACCGGATTTACCAGGCAGATTCGGGTGTAGGGTTTACGGTTGAGGGTTTAGGGTTTAGGGTTTAGGGTTGAGGGTTTAGGGTTTAGGGTTTAGGGTTTAGGGTGTAGGGTTGAGGGTTGAGGGTTGGTTGTAAGTAGCTAGATTCAGGCTGTACGTGCTTGCATTTATACTTGCCTCGCTGACACCCCGGAGGCAAGTACACCTAAAACTCCTGCACACGCATTCGCAGCCCTTTCTGAACCTTCTATATAGACCCTAAGAACTCTATGCACCGTCCTTGTCGAAGACGGGACTGCATGTAAATCTAGCTCTGTACTCAGACTGTCCTGGAGAGCTGTCAAGTAACCCAGTTCAGGTTGAAACAGCAAGGAGTAAGGGGCCTTTGAATTTTTGCTCTGTCGCTTAGTCCTTCTTTGAAAGAAGGTTCAGACTTTGGGCTTTGGGTCTTTAGGGCTTAGGGCTTCTATGGTTTAGAGCTGAGGGTTTGAGGGTTGAAGGTTTATGGCAATGGGGCCTTAAAGCCAAACTCGCGCTTCGTGCGGACCTGTTGGCAGTCTCAATCCGACGTGGCCTTTGTGGCTTAGGGTTTAAAATGAGCCTGTTGAACAGACGATAAGACCCACAGCAGCCCCAAGGAGATGCAACCCTGCAGAATGCTCTTTCATGCGATTCTATACCCACAGCCAGGCCTCAGCCCAAAACCACTTGCTGCACAACTAAAGAATCTTTATAAGCTTCGTGGGAACCTTTAAAGAAGCCTTATAAGACTGATACAAGACGCTTGAAGCCTTGAAAGAACCCTTAAACGAATCTTTAAGGAACACTTGTAAGACTCGTGGAAGGGGAAAAAATCTTGCACCCTTCGCCCTAAGCCGCCTTTCAAGAACCCCAAGCCCCAAAACCCTAAACCCCTAAAACCTAAATCCCAAGCCTTGAACCTGCCCCCAACCCCACATCCACACCCTAAACTACTCTAAAACCTAAAACCCCAAACTCCAGACCCTAAACCCTAAATGCCAAGACGTAAAAACAACAAACGCTGGGACCACGGCTGGGCACCAGGAAAAAGGCCTGGTGATGATCTACGGGCTTCTGCAAGTCTAAGGAGATCATAAGCTCAGGAAATGTATTTTTCGCAAATCTAAGGAGATTATTGGGCTTAGGAACTTTATTGGTTTTAGCGCTTTTTTGTTCGATTTTATGTGGTTTATGATATATAACCGAAACTCGGCGTGTTGGGCTCCAGGGGTCTCGGGTCTAAGGCTTCAGGGTTTGGATTTCATTCGGATTTTGGGATTTAAGGGGTTTCGGTGGTTGAACACACGGGCATTCGATATGTGGATATTTGCAAAGGCCTAAGGGTCTTGTTGATGAGAGTCTTTTGGGTAGCCAGTGCACGCCGGTGGAAAAATTTAACTTCGGGCGTTGGGTGCGCGATTCCAGGTGCGAACGGTTGTAGGGTCTGTTGGATGACAGCAGTAAACAACTTGCATGATTTGCGACGTGGTGCTCGGGACAAAGATATGCTTGCAACGACACTGCTAGCAATGACTAGAATGCAAAAGCCACTCCAACCGTTACTACAAGCACCGCTCGTCCAAAAGCACATCTAGAAATTTACATCTACTGCGACCTCTTCGTCATCATCGGGAACGAACACGACACATGAATCATTTAAGGGCCCTATTACATACCTATTATACCACTATTAAATTATAGGGTGGGGCCTTCTAATGAATCATGTGCAAATCTACGCCAAACAGCAACTCTTAAGAGCCTGCCAGTTGAGATGCTGAGAATATGGAGGGTTTAGGGTTTAGGGTTTAGGGCTCTGATCCTGATAATGAAAACGACAACGGAACAGACAAGAAAGAAACAGATGATGTCGGCCATGACGACGCTAGTGGTAGTGACTAAGAGCGATGATAATGTCAAATGTTCATCACCATGCTAAGTCATGAAAGTTGTAATGAACGTGTTCGTGGCCAAATAACTGTGACCCTAACTAACCAGTCATCGCACTCATGACCTTGGCAGCAAAACAGCAAATACACGTACAAGCAAGCAATCGAAGAGAAGTACGGTTGATGATATAAGCCCTGCATTGCCTTAAGGATCCTGAACTATGGGAACAATGGTATACTCCTTATTGTGGATAATGCAGGATTTATATCATCAACAGTAGTAGCAATGACAAGGTCAATATTGCCGAGCTGCTGACTTGAACTAGGTTAGCGGCTCGGGCGGTCTTAGGGCACAGAACGTCCCTGGTTTCGGGGTTGACTCTGGGGTAAAAGCTTGAAAAAGCTAGCGATAAGACAGCAAACATATCAGCAAGTGCAAGACGAATCTGCTTGTCCTCCAAACCCTCTGAGATGCCTCGCTGAATGAGGCTCTCTTTTCCCAATGTCCCGATGACCTAGCTAATACAAATCAAAGCCTGATCCCTCAAGCTCTCATACCCTCGAACACATAAAATGTGGCACAATATATGGGGCTTATGGATGGAAACGAGCAATTTTAAATAACCGAGATGCGATTCCGAATCATTCAGGACCATACCCTCCAAGCTGCTCCCGAGCGTTTGGGGTTTAGGGTTTAGGGTTTTAGGGGTTAAGGGGTTAAGGGGCTTAGGGTTTAGGGACCCTAATCCTAGACCCTAAAACCCTAAAACCCTAAAACCCTAAACTCTAAACCCTGCGTCAGCCGGGGCACACATTCCGAACTGCCGCTGCCCAGAGTCAATGCACCTCCTCATCATCAGCCTGATTTGCACAATCTCCGAGGGTCTAGAGTCTACCTAGTGTGTAGGGTTCAGGGTTGAAGGTTAAGGGTTTAGGGATCAAGGTTTAGGGAACAAACCCACGTTGCCGGGGTTTCCATTGTGGAGCCCTTCTACCACCCCGAGAACGAAGTGACCCAGTGGGCCTTTGGACTTGCCTGCTTGGGATTTTGTGGCTGAAGGGTCCGGAGTCTACAGACCTCGGGGTTCTTGATCTTTGAGACTCAGGCCCTACGACACCCTAAACTCTAAACCCTAAACCCTGAACCCTGAACCCTAAACCCTAAACCCTGAACCCTAAACCCTGAACCGTTTAGGGCATAGGGTTCAGGGCTTAGGCCTAAGGTTTAGGGTTGGATCCTGCAGAGGTTGGAGTCTCACCAAGCAGCCTTTTGCCCCCACCAGGCTTTCCAAAACTTGGGGCTTGGGTCTACTTGGAGGATCATGGGACCCAGTAACTAAGGTTATAATTAAGGTAACTCTACTTCTAATTACTTATAGCCCCACATAGGGGACTTATATCCTTACTTACTAACTCCCACGATCCTCTACGTAGGTCTGGGTCTGGGTTCTCAGTTCTCCAAAACTGCCCAAAGTTAGGACCGGCTGAGATGCCAGCTAGGGCGTTACACGAAATGGGCATAGGCAGCGGCCGCCGCACCACTGCCACTGCCACTGTTATTGTAAGGGGCCTTGAAAATCTAAAGAGGGCGTTGGGCTCCTTTGTAGAATAATTTTGATAGGGAGCCCTAGGAATAATATTGGTATTCATTTTGATTTCTGCATTACCTGCTATTGGTGGGTATCGTCTGTAGCAACCGTGGTGCAGCGACAGACAAGTGGCTGGCAGGGATACCTCGCTACCGTCGCACAACCTGAGACCCGAAACTCACGAGAATGCAACATACCAAAACCAAAGAACACCAACGGTGATAACCACAACGGCAAAAAACAAAAAGAAACAAAACATACACAACTAAACCCTCAACAACACCTCTCTCTCTCTCTCTCTCTCTCTCTCTCTAATCGAGTAGTAGCAATCCCGAATAGAACAACACAACAAGAAAAGCTAAACCTGAAGCCTCTAAACTCTAAACCCTACCAACAGCTCGCGCTCTCTGTCCGGCCTGTAACGAGGCTCGAAGATGTGAAGTGGACAGGCGACCTGGTTACTGGCGGCTTCTATACTGAACTTAGAACCCTAGCCAACATTCCAATTTTTGCTGTTTCTTCGGGATTATACTCACCAAAGATTTAAACTTATTTCTAAGTACCCCTAAGATTTAACCCGGGGCGGGTGGGGTGCCGCGGGCTTCTGCGTTAATTTTAGGGTTTAGGGCCCCAGGGTTTCAAAGGTTGTATGAGCTGAACGAAAAACATACCGTGCCGTCCAAGATTTCCATGCAAGGTGCCTCAAACTCTAAACTACCTCTAGACCCAAAACCCTACATCCTCAAACCCTGAACCCCAAACATCCGAAACCCCAAGCCCGAAACCGCCACCCCAAACCGAAGCTTCGAAGCTTCCGAGGCCATGAACCCTGAACCCTAAGCTCTACACTCGATACCCCAAACCCCACACCAAAGGGAATTCCGTCCGGGTCCGAAGGGCCGAAGGCATGGCCATGGAACAGATGAAAATCGGAACCTGGGCCGGTTGATGTAGGGGCCGTAATAACTAAATCATGGTTTTGGGGGCTCCATATTATAATCGTAGAACACTGGACCCCAAAACCCCATTCTAACAATAAAGGCCGGGCAGGGATTGTGGTTTACGGTTCAGGTTTCGCGCTTAAAGTTAAAGTCTTAAGTTTCGGTAGGGATTTGAAGGTTTCTGCTGAATTTACAGACCACAGTAAGCGACGGGCACTGAGCACTTCCGATCTCCACCTGCCCCTGAAAGCCTTGCAGTATCGGGTTTAAGCCCTACTTGACCCCTGAGTAGTACCGCCGTGTACTTTAAGCAACTAGCCTACGAGTGTGGGTATCTTACTTCTAGCGCTACTTACCAAGTCCCCTGACCTCTGAAGCACCTCGCCAGTGTGACAGCGTGCCCCTGAATGCAAAGCCACATACCCCGATAAGACATCCCAGAGTTCTAAACCATTTATCCCCAAATCCGAAAACCCTGAACACCAAATCCTAAACCCTAGTTTAAGCCCGGCTAAACCCTGCGAAAGGTCTCTGGAGACCCTCCCAACAATCCACGGCTGCACCGACAAGTGGCCACAACCCTAATCCCTAAACCCGATACCCTGACAAGGGGCTACCGGATGCTCGCCACCCTCGCCCCCAGCCGTTTCTGCGGAGGCGATCTGAAGCGCGCGTTCGGCCACCCTGGGCTTCTGGGGAGGCGGCTTTGCGGCATCTATAAGATTCATTTTAAAGGTTCTGTGGCGTTCTATCAGGATTTTGGGTTGCAAGGATTTGGGTGTAGTGCTTCCGGGCTTTTTGGGGCACATGGTTTATGGCTAAAAGGCTTCAGGGCTTTTGGCTTTAAGCTTGAGGCCGCAAAATCGGTGACTGAAATGTGAAGTTAAGTTTGAGGCTTGAGGTTCAGGCCCTGCAGGTTTAGGTATTTGGCGCTACAAGCTTCTGGAGCCTGAAAGGGCTTGTGGCATGGCTCCATGGTACGGTTGCTGATGTAAATCCTGCATTACCTGAAGGATCCTAAACTATGGGAATAATGGTATATTCCTTAGTATGGGTAATGCAGGATTTCTATCATCAGCAGTATGAAGAGTGCCAACTTGACTTCAGAAGATCATACATTCACAAATATCGGGCACGATGGGCGTCTTTTGCCATGATGACCGGAGGCCTGAGCATGGAGAGACACCCTGAACCCGCAACCCCTACAGGGAACTCCAGAAAGTTGGAGTATGGTTTCATGGTAGGATACCTTATAATTTACCATAGAAGGGTTAGGATAATCATATTCCAACTTTCTGGCTTTTACCTTAGCCCCCTTTCCAACACGCAAGATCGCTCGTTGTCACGGCTTCCTTGTATCCTTCCGAGGGGAGTAAGCTTGCGGTTTCGGACGAGGGTTCAGTTCTTCCGGAAGCCGGATGAACAAACACTACACCCTAATACCCCACGGAAAGCCTCCAACAAACACAAAAAATTAAACGAAGACCATGCAGCAAAACCCGAAACCTTAGAACTCCCAAACCAAAGAGAAACGGAGATCACGTGCCGAAGGGCTCAGCGGGGAAGTGGCGGTCGATGATCGCTGCAATCTTCCGATTGATCTGTGCAAAGTTCGGGCGCTCATTTTAGGGTTGACAGCTTTGAGGTGGGAGTTTCCGAAAATAGGGGTACCCTATTTTGGGGTCCTTATATATAATTGGGATCCTACTATTTAGGGTACTATATTCGGGTCCCCTATTTTCGGAAACTGCCAGGTGAAGGGTGGCAGCTTAGAGCTTGGGTTTATGGGAGTTACAGGGCTCAGCGTTTGAGGGACCAAGTGTTAGGGTTTAGGGTTTAGGGATTGACATGCAGGCTCAAGAGCTTCGGACTCTTATTCTGAGTGTGACTTGGATTTGAGATTCACGGCTCCTCGGGACCTAGGGCTGAGCTGTTAAACTTCAACCCCAAACAACCCACCTACCTGAGGACTGATATGGGAGTTTCCGAAAATTAGGGTACCTTATTTTGGGGTCCTTATAATAAGGATCCTACTATTTCGGGTACCATGTTAGGGTCCCCTATTTTCAGAAACTCCCATATCAAGAAACCCTGAACCCGAAACCTTGATCCTTAAAGCACCAATGTGACACCCTCTCCCCAAACCAAAGCCCTTTGCGAAAACTCCGAATCCCTGAAACCTGAAACCCAACCCCTAAAGAGAGGCGCATAACAGCACTTGCAAGAAGTAACCACTTGCAACACCTACACTTACCAAGCCACCTGTTACTTCGTATGAACACTCTAGGCAGAGTCTGAGATCTGAGGCTGCACTCATCACTCAAACTCGACATCCGCAAGTATAGAACCAGAAGGAATTGTTCATGTATGTTCGTCACACCAAAACCGCACCCTGTAGCCCATGCAACGCGTCACACCGACGAGTTATTCCTTAAGTTTTAATCCCACAGCTAGCACCCTGAAGCGTCTGGGTATGGCAAAGACGCCTTTATCTGCGGGGGTGAAGATATGCATCTTCCCGTGACTGCTTCGCAGGAACTCTTGGGGCACACATAAGGTTTTACGGGCGCACGGGGGTTGTACCCCCCCGGCAGACCTGAAAGTCTTGTAAATGCCCAGACATATTGCCAATAGCATGCGGCGCATGTTGCCACAACTCCGACAAGTCAGGTCATGCTAGTCCTCCTCCGCCTCTTCTTCCACGTCCTCTCCTTCTAACTGCTTTTCTTCAAAGTCGAGCAAGAATAGCCGGACAATCTTGAGAAGGTTTTGCCTCCACTGGTTCCCGTTATGTTCATAGCGAAAAGAGTCTTCTTTTTCTTCAGCCTTCATGTCAGCCAAAGTGTTCAGAATCACCGACCAGTGTCGGGAAGCATTCTCGTGCGAATCGTCGCACGTAAAATCCGGCTCCACAAACTTTGCATGCTTTCTACGCTCCACGTCTATCGAATGCATCAGCTCAGTGTACACTGCGCTCCGTACAGTTCGGTCCGTCTCGTAGTTCAGTAGGATGCTATCCTTTTTGGCTGTCAGATAGCGTGCTGTCACGAGCTTCGCGCTCTCTAAGTCATACTGATCTGACAACTCGAGTACATACTCCGGCTTGAACTTTGCAAGTCTCTGCAAAAAACTCTGACATCGGTCCTTTAGTCCCGGGATCTGGTACTCATCTGCGTTCGCTAAAAGGAGCTCAAGATTCTCCTCCGTGATCGGGGGTGGGAGAGATCCACCGCGCAGATCCAAGTGTTCCAATACGACCTTGAAGTCATCCAGAGGCTTTTCCTTGAGCACAATGCGCCCAGACTGAGCTTCCTGCATGCCGGATTGCAACATGCGAGCAAAAACCTCCGAGGCCGCCATCAGGACATGGGAATGCACCTGCAGAACTCCCCCCTGCAGCTCCACTTCGACATCGGCTTCCATGGAGAAGCGGGCCCGTTTCGGCAAGGGCTCCACCATGGCGAGAAGAAACTCTAAGGCTGTATGAGCGATAGAGAGACAGAGAGAGAGAGAGAGAGAGAGAGATAGAAAGAGAGAGAGTGAGAGGGCGACAACAAGCAAAGAAAAAGTAAGCAATTCGGCCGATGGATGATTTACGCCTGCATGCTTGACACGAGGGCGGGCAGGCAGGTAGATGAGCTCAAATCCCAACACATGGATGCACAATTGGACCGATGTTCTATGCGGGCCGTACGGCCATCTGCAGGCTTGAGTTCAAAAAGGCATTGGTGTGCCATAGAATGTAGTTGCAGTTGGTATACATGCACATATGCATGCAATGGCACACACACACACACGCATGTGCATATGTACACATACATACGTACATACCTACCTACCTACCTACCTACATCCATCCATCCATGCATGCATACGTACATGCAAAACTGTACACACTCATATACATGACATGTATCTATGCTCATCTACATTTTTGTGTTTTATCCATATGCACTCAGACTTCCTTATATCTATTTATGTTTAGTTATCGTCATTTATCTTTGTGGAAACTTTTTTGGATTGTTGAATTAATGTTTAGATCTAGTTTAGATTTATGTCTGTCCGTGTTGAGATTCATGCATAACAGATTATGGTTGTGTACATTTCCGAAATACTTGTTAATACTTATACCTATGTGTGTGTGTATATATATATGTAACCATTTAGTTGCTTGCGTGTTTACAAATGCATTGATATTCACATTTTGAGAGTTACATGCATGGCAATCTGCCTGTCCGTCTGTCTGTCCGTCCGTCTGTATGTCTTTGTGTCTGTGTGTCAGTATGCCTGCATGTCTGTTTGCATCTACATCTGTATAGGCCCTTGGCACGAGAGCATCCTACAGGAGTGCAGTAGCGCTTGGCGAAGTCGGCGAAACGGCGAGATGGGAGCTAGACATGATACAAGGCCTTCTTGACGTGGTTGCGTGAATAATACCGCTTCAGATATGCACCCATAAACCTCGTACACTTTGGGAACATGAGCGGATCAAGAACATACTACAGCAGCTAACAAACTATCGCATCATTGCCCTGTCGGGTGCTACTTGTGCTTACGACACAGCAGTTCAACGGGACAGGTATACAAGCCACACTGTCACGTCATGGAGTAGAAGCAAAGACCCAGCAGAGCGTGCGCGGTCCCGGAGAAAGTTTAAATTCCCAAATCCCATGCCCCAACACCCTGAAACCCTTAAACCCTTAAGCCCTAAAACCCTAAAACCTAAACCCAAAAACAAGCCCAGCCGAGGCGCAGGGATCTGCGCACCGCCGTGGCCAGCAGCCACGCCGAGGCGTCCCGCGATCAGCGCCCGGCCATTCAACCAGGTCTCGGCGGAAGTAAGGCTTTTCTCGGCGGTGCTTAGGGTCTAGCTAGCGTTTAGGATTCAAGGCTAGTTGTTGTTTGAGCTCCTTCTTCCCAGAGGCTGCAGTCTGCGACTTCTAGGATTTAGGGTTTAAGGGCTTGGAGAAGTAGGACGTAGGGCTTCGTCTTGCATAGCTTTGGGGCGTAGGTTCGGGTCCAGAACTTTTCGGTTGAGCACCCACAATCCGTAAAACCGCAAACTCTAAATCCCTCCCTCAATTTCTCGACCCCATACCCCAAAACCCCTTAAAACCCTAATCTCTAAACCCTAAACCCTAACCCCCTAAACCCTAAACCCTAAACCCTGAACCCTGAACCCTAAACCCTAAACTCCAAACCCTGAACCCCAACTCCTCACCAACGCAAACCCTGAAACCCAATGGCCCAAGGCCCCGAAGCCGAGAAGGCCCCACAATCCTTGGTCCTCTCAAGCCCTCATAGAACTCTTCTTACCGCTATTTTATATAATATAATTTACAATATACCATATAATATAATATATCATTTCAAAAGAAAGTATTACGAGGGTTTAGGGTTTCGGGTTGTGGGTTTAGGTTTTTTTTAGGAGTGCCAAGCGCTGCCGACTGTCTTTCTGTACAACTGGAAAATATGCGAAGCGCGCGTAGGCGCAGTACTCAAGCGATCGCCGAAGAGCTTGTTTTTCTGAAGCATTTGTTTGAAACCTAGGAAATCCCGTCTATGGTCCTTATATTGGGCGGAGTGGTCTAGGTAGTGGTTCAAGTATTCCAACGCATGTGAAGAAACTAGTTCGAACCAATACCTTGCGGGGTGGCCTCTGTGTCTTGATTTAGTGTATTTAATGCGATCTTTGTACCCGGGGGAGAAGACTACATGATGTTGGGGGAGGTGTGGCGGAGTAGTCGTGGCTTGTATAAGGAGCTTGAACTGTTGCGACAAAAGAGTTTGGGAAGGGATCGGATGTTTTCCTGAATCTACCCATACTGTTTTGTTGGGGATCCGGGAGTAGTATGAGGCTTTAATGTTGATGGCTCTTCTTAGGTACCCAAAATACCAGCCGTCTATGGTTCGGAAGTGGTGTTTTTCAAGGGTGAGAGTTTCCAAGGCGTACGTATATACTGGGACGATGCAGGCGTGGAAGATTCTGGATTTTACTGGGCGGGGTAGTCTGCTCTGCCATACATGTTGGAGCTTTAGGGTTTAGGTTTTAGGGTTTAGGATGTAAGGATATGTAAGGGTTAGGGTTGGGTTTAGCGGGAGCGAGCCCTTTAATGCTTGAACTCCCAACATAGTGCCCAATAAGCTCTAAACCCTAAACCCTAAACCCTAAACCCTAAACCCTGAACCCTAAACCCCTAAACCCCTAAACCTTAAACCCTAAACCCTAAACCCCTAAACCCTAAACCCCCCTCGGGTGGCTGATGCCGGCAGAGTGGCGAGATAGCTCGACAGGTCCTCTCAAGTCATCGCAACCGCAGATCCACAGATTTTCGAAGAGCTTCGGGGCTTAGGGTTGAAGGTTTAGGGTTTAGGGTTTAGGGTTTAGGGTAGTTTAGGGCGGTTTAATGTGGCTTAGGGTGGTCTCGGGCGGGCTTTGATATTCTAGGGCTGTGTGCTTTGATAACTCTGGGGACTTGGTGCACTACACTGCTGATGCTGTCCTTGCATCAATATAACCAGGGGGTTTACGGTTCTTGACAGCTATTTACAGGGGTTGCTGAAGTTCTGGTTTTCGGATAATAGGGCCAATATGCTACAATGAACCCAACTGATTCTGTGCTTCGTCTTGCTTCTCATCGATACTACACCTTTCCTGCTCTTGGCAACCATGGTGATAGGACTTTCAGAACTACCCCTGAACCCTAAACTCTAAAGCCTAACCCCTAGGCCCTAAACCCTGAAGCCTAAAGCTTCGAGCCCTCAACCGATCAGCACCATCCTGATTCTCGGTTCCCGAAATTCGGAGACCGAAATGCCCAAACAGCCCAAACTGGTTAAGGGCTTCAAGGGTTTAGGGTTTAGGGCTTTAGGCATTTAAGGCTTTAAGGGTTAAGGGTTCAGGGCTTTAAGGGTTACGGGTTGAGGGTTTAGGGGGTGCTTCTCATTCTGATTTGGTAGTTCCATCTTCGACAGATATTCACCTCTCTGGGCGCTGAAATCTCAAACATCCCTCCTCTTTCGCTTCGAAGCCGGTGCCTGCGATAACATACTGCTGTTTAAGGGTTGTCCCCAACCTTTGTCCATGTGACACCGGGCGTATCCCGAAACCAGAAACACTAAACCCCCAACCCTAAGACCCTGGCCCCAAGCCCTGAACCGTAAACCCCAAACCCTCAGACCATAAACCCTAAACCCTAAACCCTAAACCCTAAACCCTAAACCCTAACCCTGCAGGGCCTGAACCCTAAGCAGCCATAAACCCCGAAAGCCGCCTTCCGGCACATGGGGCACGCCGGCGGCGCATCGAAGGCGTGGTCCAACGTCCGGGCGAGGCAGGTGCGGCCTTGGAAAGTTCGGCTCCTTAGGGCTTTAGTGGTTTAGGATTTAGGGGTTTAGGGGTTTAGGCGGTTTAGGGGTTTAGGGTTTAGGGGTTTAGGGTTTAGGGTTATTTTTTTTAAGTTTAGGGTTTAGGGCTTAATGGCTCCTTTGCTCCTTTAAGGGCTCTCGTCTTTAAGGCTTGCGCTCCTTTCAGGGTTCGGCCTTGAAGCTTTGCTATAAAGGGTGCAGGGTTCTGAGGGTTTGGGGTTCAGGGTTTAAGGCTTAGGCTTTGGGGTTCAGGGTGTAGGGCTTTGAGGGTTTGGGGTTTCAGCCAGGGTTCAAGGTTCAGGTTCTCCGGGCTTGGAGGAGGCTTTTCCGGCCTCATGCTGCCAGCACCGGAAGACGGCTTCGATGCACTGCCCAGGTGCTCTGAGACTCCTTCTTCCCTCGCGGATGTCAGGAGAGGGCTGCTCATCAATACCATCTGTCCGTCCACATGCTTGCCTTTCGACAGTTTATATCATTTTGCTGTTTTGGAATTAAAAAAGACTCAGCTGCAATCGTTTCGTTCAACTTCTATGCTCCTTCGTTGGGGCCAGGGCCATGGCGGATACGAACATGGAGCAGACTGCGAAGACAACGAGGATATCACGGAGTGCTTGAACTATAGTAGGGGCCAGAAAGTTGGAATATCATTATCGTAACCCCTTTAAGGTAAATTATAGGGGATCCTACCATTAATCCATATTCCAACTTTCTGGAGTTCGCTTTAGGGTTTCCGAAGCACTTAGGAGGGTTTAGGGTGTAGGGTTAAAGGTTCAGGGATTTAGGGTCCAGGTTTGGGCTGTTGATCCAGGGCTCAAGGTTGTGCACGGCCTTCATGAAGGCTTCGGTTTTGCAGAATTCAGTCAGGGATGTAGATAGGGTATAGGGTTTAGGGTATAGGGTTTAGGGTTTCGGGGTTTACGGGTTTAGGGTATTGCACGGGTAGGTTTAGGGCACAGAGGCTTCCTTCTCTTAGGTTAAGATCAACTGACAATGATGAGTTGGTGTCATTTCTGTGGATGAATGCTAGCATCCTATAATACGGCACCTACAATTTAGGGTACCCAAAAAAGGATCCCCCAAAACCTTAGTAAATACGGCACCTAATCTTTAGGGTACCCAAAAAGGGACCATACTTTTGACAACCACCCAATTTGGAATTTCCTCCGAAGGCCGGAAGTTGAGCCCCCAGCAGAGCGTGTGGCCGCAGGGGAGGGAGGAAGGTTGGCAAAGCCTGGGAGTTTCGGGAGTAGGGTGCAGTTTCAGGGGGCTTAGGGTTTAGAGTTTGAGGGGTTCAGGCCCTATAAGTTGTATGGCTTCAAGGGTTCGGATGTACAAGGTTCGTTGAGTTATAAAGGGTATAGTCTGTCCCGAAGTCTTATTCGGCTGCAAACGGCTTCGACGAGGACTGTCTCGCCTACCAGACCTTCTTGGATTTCTTCGAAAACTTTTTGGATGTTGGCAAAGGGTGTTTAGAGCTGTTGTGGGATGAGCGGTTTAGGGTGAAGGCAGTAGGAATCAGTAGAAATTTCAGCCTTGAAGTTCTTCTCCAACTGTGGATTAAGAGTGGAGCATAGGGATGTTGTGGGCGGAAGGAAAATTACATAGAATTCCGGAGTTAGGCATTGGGGAGAGAATGGTGAGGGCTTCGGCTTGAGGGCTGGCTGTCAAGCTTTGAAAATGCAAGTGTAACTGTGTAAAGGTTCCCGAAAGAATAGTGTTGGTGACTAGTCCGTCCGCTATACAATCCGATCCAAGCCGCAGCCCTAAGCAAAGCGGACATTCCAGCTGATTGCGGAGCCAGTCCTGTGCAGATGCTCCGATGGAGATGTTCTGTTGTCCAGTGCTTTGCAAGCTTTAGCTGTTCACACAAAACCCTATAAAATCTACAGCGACCCCGCTAGGACCTGCTAGGAACCCAACACTCTATAAAGGCCCGCAAGGCTTGGAGTGTAAGGTTTGGGTTGCAGACATACATGCTTAAGGGTGTACGGTCGGAGTCTAGGGTTCAGGGTGTAGGGATTTAGAGTTTAGGCTTTAGGGCGCAGAAGTTGGCTGTTTAGGGCTTTGGGGTTTCGGGTTTAGGATTTGGGGGTTTAAGGGTGTAGGTTAGGGTTTTGGCAGCCTTGTTGGAGGTGCAATGGGCTTTTCCTCGCACGAAGGGGCTTGAGGCTTTAGGGCAACAAGGCTTAGTTTAGGTTCAGTTTTGGCCTCGAGCCCGGAGCCCCGCAAAAAACTCTGAGCACTTCCCGTCGGACAGAAGCCGTGATGGTTTTCACTTCCAGTGTCGACGGTTCAGGCCGGGGAATGTAGGAGCCGTGAGGTTTGGGGTAGATTAAAGGATCTTTGGATGGGAACTATGAAGGGAAATTATTACAGGAGGTACCGGGAGGGGTAATCATGAGTGTTTAGAGGGATTTCTGAAGCCATAGAAAGTTGCGATGTGAAGCCGCTCCACGCCAAACCGCACGCACAGCCTAGACTCCCAAACCGTACAAAGCCGTTGAAATCCTTGCATCACCCTTACAACTTCAAGAAACTTCGTGTTAACAAGCTATGAAAACCTTTGCAACCCTATTTAAAAAAGATCAAATGGAAAAATCCAGAAACGAGGTTGAGAGAGCCTACAAAATCTTCCAGGCTTCACTTTCAAGCAACCCTAAAAAACCACACTACACTAGGTTTCCCCTTTAAAGGACCCCTAGCACCTTCTCTGAGCGCCTCCTCTAAAGGAAACCCGAACACCCCGTAACACCACTACACCCCTAAACCCTAACCTACACCCCTACACCCCTAAACCCCTAAACCCCTGAACCCTAAATCCCTAAAAACCCCTAAACCCTAAACCCCCCGAACCCTAAACCCTAAACCCATAAAACGCTAAACCCTAAACCGCATTCTTCACACCCGCCTTGCTGCCCTCCCCGACGACGGAAAGGCACCCGCCCCGCTCGATCGATGGGAGGCGTGTCTGACAAAGGCTTAGGGCCTACTTGGAGGGTTGGGGGACGTAGTAAAGGGCTCCTTTTAAAGGGGTCTATAGTGGCTACTATAAGGGATCTACAAGGGTACTATAATGTCGGGGGACGTAGTAACTGGTTGTTTTAGGGACTTGTAAGTACCATAACCCCAATGAGGGTCCCTTTTAGGGTACTTATAAGTCTACTTACTACCTACTTACTAAGTCCCCCGACCCTCCAAGCATGGACGTCGGGTTTAGGGTTCCTTTAAAGGGATCTATAAGGGATTCCTAAAGGGATCTATTGTAGGATCTATTGTTGTGGTTTTACGGCTTTCAAAGTTTTTAAGGCTTTTGGGGGGTACGGTTTTGGGATTTAGGGTTTAGGGTTTAGGGGTTTAGGGTTTGGAGCTTGGGGGGTTTAGGGTTTAAAGCTTCAGGGTCTTAGGGCTTAAATCTTAGAGGGTTTTGCGGATCAGGGGTTTTCGGGTTCATAGGGCTTGTAGGATTTAGGGGTTTAGGATCTGTCAGGACTTTGGAAGGCTTTACAGCGTCCGGTAGGTTGTTGCAATGTCCTGCAAGGCATCGCAAGGTTCCATCGGGTTCCATGTTACGAGTTCTCGAACAACCAACAACCTCTTGTTCAGGGTTTAGTGGCTTGGGGTTCAGGGTTCAAGCTTGAAGGGATGGATGGGAAGTGGCCTTTCTATTCGTCTACCTGCCTAGTTCTGCATCTACCTGCCTGTCTACCTACCCATCTATCTCCCTAAGCTCTGGCCTGTGCAGCAACAGCCTAATCCTTAGGGCCCAGGGTTGAGGATGACTTCGGGTTTAGTTGTTGGTGTATGTCTAGGATACCCAGTAACCTAAGAATAAAAAGGCCTCTCTTTTTGGTATTGGGTAACTTTATAAGGAACCTAGGACTACAAAAAGGGAATAAGGGTACTACTGGGCATCCTAGGTGTTCAGTGTCAGGTTGGGCTTTCAGGCTCAGGGCTCGAAGTAAACACCCGGAGAGTTGGATGCATGCAACAACCAAGAATCCTACTCTCATTTTGGAAGCCCCTTTATGGGAACCCATAAAGGAACACTTAAGTAACCCTTAGAGGAACCCTTGCAGGAATCCGTGGGAGCGCCGCTAGCCCTCAGACACCCAGAGATTGCGAAACAGCTTCGTCCAAGAGTTACCGGTTTAGGGCAACGGTTTTCGGGCTTAGGGTATACGGTGCGGGCAAAGAAGGCCACGCTGCCTCGATACTGGGACACTGCCCCTGGCGCAGCCAATCCTTCACCTCGCCGTTTTTACAGTAGTCTTTGCGGGTTCAGGCCTTCAGGTTCAGACGTTGAGAAGGGTCCTATAACAACAGGCAGCAGCAGGCAGCAGGCATAGGGGTTGAGCGCGTGGGATTCCGGGCTTGTTCGTGGCTTTTGGCTTCACAAGTTGTTCGGGCTATGGAAAAACAATCTCTAGGACTGGATACTTGTCCGGCTCGATGGAGTTCTAAAGTCTAAAGTGCACTGACCCCGCGATACTTCAGACATTCAGCACCCCTAAAAACTCATACCGAAATCCTTCGCCTGCCTTGTGTATGGTCTTGCTGTGGGGTTTGGGGTGCGCCGTCTCAACTTTGGGTTTGCGGAAGGCGCGGCTCGGGGTTTGTGGATCCGGTTTCTGCGGGCCCAATTCAGGGCCCAAGTCAGTGAGATTTTGGGGTTTAGGGTTTAGGGTTTAGGGTTTTGGGGTTCAGGGGTTTAGGGTTTAGGGTTTAGGGTTAGAGGTTGGGGTGCGGGGGCTGCGCAGACCATGACTGCCCAACTCGTCTCCAAGTTGCGGAAATGAGCACCGTCGAGTCTGCTTATGCTAGGGCCCCAAAAAAGCACATAAGCAAAAATTAGGATAGGGATATCCCATATAAAGCCCCTTATAGTGAAGGCCAATAAGGTAGGGATATGGGCTTCTGGGTTGCAGTTTTGGGGCTCTGAAAAGTATTTATGAATAGGTACCTCTATAGGAACCATAAGGGAAATTGAAAAGTTTCTCAAATTGCCACCTAGTTATGCAAGAATGCATCACGACGCGAAAGGGATCTTAGTGCCCTGGACCGTGTGTCCATGCTGGTATCTTGGGTACGGCCCCCATACAGTAAGAGTCTATAATAGGGCTATTATTAAGGTCCTACTATATCTATATTATTCAACTATTACTGAGTGGGGGCCGTACGCAACTGGTATCCATTTTGCATGACAAATCAAGAGAAGCCCCAAAACCCCCCTACCCCCCTCCTTCAAACCCTTTGGCATCCCGATGAATAAGAAATGTCATCCCTAAAAGGCGATGAGGCCGGACACACATTCGTCAAACACACAAACCGCAAGAAAATATCTAGAATAACACTGCCAACAATTCGCATCATAAGACTTGTGATGTATAATACGATAACTGCTGATGCCAACCTCGTAATCCGAAGACGAAAACCATCCTCCCGTGAAGGAGGTGAAGGGAAGGATATCAAACTGGATCCTTGCACGAAAGGCTCCGAACAATTTAAAGGTTTACATTCATGACGAAGACCAGGACGAAATTCATTTAAAGAACAATAAGAAAAACAAGGATGGACAACAAGAGCGCCAGTAGTGATAGTAATTCCAGACCACAAAGACTTCGCTACCCCGCGGTTCCTGCCGTGACGCAGGACTTAATATTATGAGTCTCACTCAATGATGGAATTTGGATTATGATATAAGTCCCGAAACCCTAAACCCGTAACCTTGAACCCTGCACCCTTAACTGTGAATACTGAAGCTTAGTCCTTTCAGAAATCTTCTGCCCTCGTAGAACCCTCACAGAACCGCACTGGTACCCGTATTATAAAACCTTCCGTTAGACCCTTCTATACTTAGAGGATCATGGGACTTAGTAACTAGGGTTATAATTAGGGTAACTATACTTATAATTACTTATAACCCCACTTAGGGTACTTATAACCATACTTACTAAGTCCCATGATCCTCCAAGTAACCCCGAAGCCCCGAACCCTCAACCTCCACTCCTGTCAGCAACATTGAGCCCATAAATTCCAACCTGTATACCGAGCACCTCTTATGGAGCCCTTGTGAAGCCCTAGCCTTAAAGATCCTCAAAGCCTGAACCCTAGACCCTAAACCCTAAACCCTAAACCCCAAACCCCAAACCCTAAACCCTAAACCTATAACCCATTGAAACCAGGTCCGGCCTTCTCAACATCCTCGGCGGACAGCCGGCCGCAGGCCTGCTGAGGAAAACACAGAGTTGTTTAGGGTTTAGGGTTTAGGGTTTAGAGGCTTGGGGTTTAGGGTTTAGGGATTAGGGTTTAGGGTTTAGGGTTTAGGAATTTAGGGATTAGGGTTTAGGGTTTAGGGTTTAGGGTTTAGGAATTTAGGGATTAGGGTTTAGGGCTTGGGGTTTAGGGTTTAAACTAAGGGGTTGGGTATTTGCGAAAAGCGATACGCCAGAACAACAAAAAACAAGACTCGTCATGTAAAATTTGGTTACTGCAGAACCAGAGGCATCTCCGACGCTTGTAGGTGCAACCGTATGTGCTGACAACAACAAACATCTGCAGCCAGGCTCCAGACGAGTACGGTGTTGCCTGTTGCAACCTGATTGGATCTACTGCCTCGAGTATATTCTGCATGTCGTTTGCATGAACCAGTTCTTTCCACGTCTGGCCGCCGAACTCATCAGTTCGTGCAAAATGAGCCACTTTCAGGTGTACAAGGTGGTATAAACGTATGAGGAAAATGGGGCAAACGACCCTACCACTCTGCACAAGCCTAGACTTATCGTGCACTCGGCAGTTCGGTTCCAGGATGCGAAACCATGCACCAGTCACGGCCATTGGCGGCAAGCATCGCTTCTTGGGGGAAGCGTCTCCGACCCCCACGACAAGCAGGCAATTATGCGTCCAATGTTCAGCGCGAGGCCTCAGGGCGCCTTGTAGAGGGCAACACATTTGTTGAACATCAGAGCCTTCCACCTTCCACTGGTCTTTTAGAGTTTAAGGCTAGGCTTAGTGTTACCCACAGATTTTGTGAGAGAAAATTGGTCGCTACGCAGGCATTGGCAATGTGAATATGGTCACTACCGCCATGTCCAACCACGCCTGCCCTAATTACCAAAACTAAACCCACAAACCGTATGGACCTTGAGAGGGTGGAACTCAGGGGCCTGCAGCTAGGAGTGTAGGCCATCGGGTTGGGGTTTGTGGTCTGTGGCTACTGCCAAACTACTAAGTCGACGCGACGTCGAATTGTGAACCAGTATAAGCTGCTCCTGCGAGGTCCAGCATGCTACCCAGCTCGGCTGCATATGTAACCATGCCACTGCACTCTGCTACCGAAATCTCGCCCGTCTGGGAAAACACATAACATGTACAAACACACATACGTATGTATGCATACACACAAACTTTCATGTGATGTAGAGTTGTTTTGCAACTAGTCTCTCCATAAACGAGCCTGCATCATAGGTACACTCGCCGAAGTTCCTATAGAGGCATGTATACCACATAATCCGCAACATAAAACCCTACCTCGAGGACGAGGAAGGCGACCTTTACTAAACCGCCTTTTGCCCTAGACTTAAACCTAGACGCGGCCACAGTTGACCTACCCCAAAATAGCCAAGTCACTCAGCTTCAATTTCTTACTCTTTGGGGGGGGGGGGGGGGGTGGGGGCAGGCATGGTAGCAAACAAATTTACGCATTTCTTGTACTTGTCGTCCGGGAGTGCAGGCTGCTGGCAAGCAAGTTCACGTACCTGCTGTAGTTTTAGCAGACGATGTGGACGCCATCTAGACAGCGTAGACTCAGTGCAGCAAATGCTTTCGTGTCTGCTGTCTAGATGGCCACTTGTTTGATAAGAAAGTAAGCACTAGATGACTATGTAGCTCAATAAGAGATGCCTTGCAACTGCCACACAGTAGCACGGTCGACAACATGCGGAAACAGATGCAAGAAGTCGGGTTTTGGGTTTTGGGTTTAGGGTTTAGGGACACCTAGTGTCCACACTGAGTTTCGGCCTCGAGGCCGGCCCCCGCCTTGGTAGAGTAGTTGTATCGGTTCTGCCAGTGCTGGCATCCTAAAGGCAACTTCGAGTATTTGAATAAGAAAGTCGTAGATTCCTAGAAAATCAAGGCCCAAAAAAGGTCCGCCCGAAGTTTACATGTCCATGGAATGCTGGCATGGAATCGGTAGGGCAGCAATGGCCCACGCCAGGACCTGAACCCTGAAACCCCCTAGCATCCCGTAACCCTAAACCCCCCTAAGCCCCAAACCCTAAACCCTTAGACCCTAAACTTAGGCAAAAAGTCTGGAACGTCCAGCCCCCGAAGCCTTCGGTTGATGCGTCGTGTCGTTAGGGGATACAGGGTTTGGGGTTTAGGGTTTAGGGTATAGGGTTTAGGGTTTGGGGTTTAGATTTTAGGGGATACAAGATTTTGGAAGGCCTTGATGTAAGTTCTTCAGAAGGTCATAGTTCACGTGTGGCATGGCCGATGGGTCAGGATTTAGAGTCTGAGGTCGGACAAGTCATGCTTTGCTTTCCTTTAGATGTCTGCGAGTGGTGTGCTCAAGCTTGAACGAACCCTCAACCATAAACACAAATGAAATCCGAAACCCTTTACCCACATGAAAATCGGAAGCTTTATACTCTGAACCCAAAACCTCCCACCCCAAACTTCAATGAACCCTTTTATCCAAAAGAAAGCGCACGGCCCAAAACCCTAAGCCTCAAAGAAACTCGAAACCCTAAACCCAAACGAAACCCTAAATATTGAAACCCCCAACCAACATCCGCAAACCCATTACAATGGTGCTGGCGACTGGAAACAAACCGAACCACATATCTGGATCCTCAGAGACTCCAATACCGTTTTTCTACCTGGGCAATATTCTTAAACCAGTATACGATGCCTGTCGTGTATCATGTAGGGAATATTCCTTAACAACGGAATTTCATAAGAGCCTGCCTGCAAAAATGGGATGTAGGGTTCAACTAAGTTACCATATACGGAAACCATAGTATTTCCTGTAGATCCCTATTGTGGTAAGTTAGAACCATAGTATTTACTGTAGGTCCCTATTATGGTAACTTACATTAACAAGAGCCCAGAAGGGAAGCTTCGGGATCCGTCGCTCAAGGCACGAACGGTTCAGTGAGTTAAGTGTTTCGGGGTCGAGGGTCTAAGGTTTAGGGGGGGACGGGGGTTATCAGGTTGATGTGCGGATTCTGTAGGGTTCTTAGAAGGTTTGTATAGAAGTGATCTAAGGTCTTTATATAATCTGTAATTCAGGGCTGAGCTCAATCGAATCAGGAGCCAACTATTGAGGGACTACGCTCCTCGCTCATGAAGAACCTCATAGAGTATCTTACCTTTGGTTAGTAGGGAATGGAAGAATGGTAGAAATAGTAGTTATAATTGTACCCCATTCCTCCATTCCCTACTAACCAAAGGTAAGTCACAGCTTCTAGACTGTAGACGTTGAAAAGGGTTGTTGCTAGTCTGCCCTGTTGAAACAGTTTCGACAGAGCTGTGCGATGAGCTTGCACGAGGCCTGCGCCTGTGCGACCAAACATTAGTATCGGGTTTGAAGACAAATTTGCTCAGACTTTCCTTGAAGTACAGTACAACCTCAACTCAAGCTGTCACAAACCCCAAACGCAAGACTCTAAGCTGGGAGAACACAACCCGAAACGCTACGCCCCTAAGTTTCAAATTGAAACCCTGCCAAGCCCAAACAGTGTACACCTTCAAAACACCACAAACAATGTACAGCTTCAAAACACCTGCATCACCGCGCTCCATTGTAGCGGCTACAAACACCCATAGGGGGTTTCCGAAAATCGCAGCCCCTTTAGAGGTACTAATACGAAGGATCCTACGGCTTCTGGTCCATACCCTCACCAGGGTGCACAGCAAGCACTGAAGTGTAGGAACCTTTGGAGGGACAAGTCTAAGAAACCCCTGTAGCACCCTGAATCTACCTTTTTGGGGTTACCTTACAGGATCCTAATTACATAACTGGCTAAACCAAAAAAAGGAACTGCAATGGAGACTATAGGAAGTTTTTCCATGCCTCGGCGAGAGCGGTGGCGACGCCGGGAGCACCTCATCCGATAGAAAGACCCGGGCGGGGGGGGGGGCGGGCTCTGAGTATTGAAACGAACCCGAACCGTGAACATGCCACCTTTTTCTGGCTCTCTCTTGTGATTCCGGTGTCTGAGGCTCCTCTAACGTATCGGGTTCGAGGATTTCTGCGTGTGGTTCAGGGTTTAGAGTCTAGGGTGTGCGGGGCTTTGGGTTTATAAAGTTTACCTTGAGGATCATGGGACTTAGTAAGTTTGGTTATACGTACCCTGAGTGGTGCTATAAGTAGGTATAAGTAAAGTTACCTCAATTACAACCTAGTTACCAAGTCCCATGATCCTTTAAGTAGGAGGATTCGGATCTTGTCGAGTGCGGTGTTTTTAGGGGTTGGGGCTTTGGGGCTCAGGGCTTTGGGCTTCAGCTTGCGGTCCTGGTTTTTGTGGCAATCTCCGTTGAAGCTGGTCTCCCAAAGTGGAGTTTGTCGAGAATAGCCATAAAATCAGGACGAACGAACACTCAGCACCCTGTCAAAAAAACATGTAGCGCCCCTCTAAGCCTTTTTGGGAACCTTGCATTATGGGACCCAAAACCCCTTTGGTATCACCGATTCCCTCGGAGGAAAGAGAATCCCTAGCTTTGGAAACCTCCGAAGTATCCTGAGGGACGACTTGAAGGGGATCCACGAATGCAGAAGCCGTGGTATAGGGTTCGGGCTGAGGGTGTAGGTTTTTTTTTACACGTGTTAGACCCAACATGTTTAAAAAAAACCTACACCCTCAGCCCGAACCCTATGCCGCGGCTTCTGCATTCGGGCTTCGGGCTTGAGGTTTAGAGTTTAGGGTTTAGGGTCTTGGGTGCAACATCCACCGATGCATCAGCTGGATTAAAACCCCAAATCCTGCATGCCGGAACTCAAAGCCCACGCGCTCAAAACGCCAACTACCCTTCAACCTCACACAAGTTGGATAAAGCTTCAATGACAATAGAAACCTCTGAATAATTTAAAGAATACTTCTTAATTGAAGAGTACACGGCTCTCTGGATTCAATCTCCTGAGACACTGAACCTTCAATGGCTGAAGTCAAACTAGCCTAGAAACTTCAACCGTAAATCTAAGGTCTGAGGTTCGGGTTTTACTGGTCTTCTGAAGACTGAACCCTAAACCCTAAACCCTAATCCCTAACCCCTAAACCCTAAACCCTAACCTCAGCACTAGCTTCCTCAGCTTCTACAGGTGGAGGAGGGGTGAACGGCGGCCTCGACGGCGTCTCCACACCCTGCCTTAAACCACAATCTCTCCTACCCAGACCCCCGAAAGGATCTATATAGAAAGTAGATCCCTGAATGCGGGTTCCTATAAAGTACCCTTAGTAGTATAGGGGCCCAAACTAGGGGATCTACTTTCTAGATCCTCCCGGTGGGTATGTGCGATGCAAGCGGCTTGCTGCCCGGGCCAATGCAAAAGAAGCCTCCCAGGTGTGATTTGGATGAGCATTCAAGGAAAATACCGTCGCGTCTTGGGGTTCGTGCCAGAGCTGACCAATGACTGTACCGACACTGATAGACTGATAGAATTTCTGACTTACCCATCTTTATCTATCGACCTACCTGTGACCGCCTCCAAGCTCAGCATTGCTAAGCGATGGCGACCGAAATCCTGAATGTCAATGCCCCCGAAAAAAAAAACTAGTGTGCTGGCGTGGGCAGACTCCCTGCCGACGAAGTAGCGGCACGTGTGCCAGGAAGTGTCACGTGCGACTGAGCACTATGAACATGTTTCACTGCAACTAGGGTCTGCGACACGGGCTCGGAAGAGTTCTGCATCTCAACGACAAGATCTCGTAGATCCCTGCCTTTAACAGCGCAGCCAGCTCCGTACACATCGAAGACTAAAGAACCCGATGGCGGCAATACAGCTTTGGAAAGATGAATGAAATGCAAGCGACCAGAAGGTGAATCTTGGCAGGATAACAACTTAACCCTGCAGAAATCATTCAGACGACGAGACCAGCTCTGAAAACACTCGTTCACACGCCTGGAAGCCTGGAAGCTTCTCGAACCCAAGTTTTGAACAAAACAGCAGTATTCATGCTAGAACATACCTGACAGATTCTGGTGATCGTAACTTGAACATCTCAAGATCAACATCCTAAACCCCGAACCCTAAACCGTGGGAAAAAATGAAAAAGCTCGAACCGCTTCTCTGATGATGGCTTTAAAAAACGAGGGAGCTTGAAATCCCTATGGTTTAAACACCCTCTCGGGTTCCGTTTAGGGGCTCCTTTAAGGGCTCCTTTATGGGCTCCTTTAAGGTCACTTTTCTTACCTTTAGCTAGTGGGGAATGGAAGAATGATAGTCGTTATAAGTTATAGTTGTACTCCATTCCTGAATTCCCTACTAACCAAAGGTAACTTTTCCGGGCCTCTGGTGCTTCGCCCTTAGCGAGCAAGGCTTGGCCCAGGCGAAACCAGGCCTGGTCGCGGCAGGGGTTGGAGCCTAAGCCCTTTGGGTTTCGGGCTTAGGGTTTAGGGCCTAAGTTTAGGGTTTAGGGTTTCATGGTTTAGAGTTTAGAGTTTAGGGTTTCAGGGTTCAGGGTTTAGGGTTTAGGGTTCAGGGTCTAGGGTGTAAGGTTCAGGATGCAAGGTTTCGGAGCGAGGGTTCGGGGTTCAGGATTTGGTGGGTCCCAAACCCTACTGAAAGGACCATGGGACTTAGTAACTAGGGCTCCTTAAAGGGCTCCTTAAAGGGATCTAAAGGGTTCCTTGCTGAAATCTACAGGGTTTAGGGTTTAGGGTCTACTTAAAGGACCATGGGACTTAGTAACTAGGGTTATAATTAAGGTAACCGCACTTATAGCTACTTATATCCCCACTTGGGGTACTTATAAGCTTACTTACTAAGTCCCATGGTCCTCCAAGTACCTTCACCCCACCTTCCTACCCCTTTCAAGGACGCTGCAAGGCAATCATGACAGGGAGCCTTAGAAAGGTGGAGGTTGGATCCTAAACCCGTTGGTTTATGAGGTTCCTTTACGGGTTTAGGGTTTGGGGGTTTGGGGGTTTGGGGGTTTAGGAGTTTAGGGGTTTAGGGGTTTAGGGGTTTAGGGGTTTAGGGGTATAGGGGTTTAGGGGTTTAGGGGTTTAGGGGTTTAGTAATTTAGGGGTTTAGGGCTTAGGGCTAAACCCCAAAAAAAGCTGAACCCTCAAAGGATCCTGGAAGGAGCCCCATTGTATTATGGATCCCTTAACAGGGACCCTTACGGGTTCCTTTAAGGGCTCCCTCCTTTAAGGGTTCCTTTATGGGTTCCTTCGTGGGCTCCTTTTAAGAAAACCCCCCGCTTGTGGAGGGCTTTCGCCGCCGCGCGCCTTGGCGAAAAGGCACGGGCCGCTGCCCGGCGAGGCCGCGGCGCCGCTGAGCGCATCGCGCAGGGCTAGCTCGGGGTCCTGGCACGCGGTTAAGGGTTCAGGGTTCAGGGGTTTAGGGTTTCTCAGGGTTCAGGCTTTGAGGGTTTGGGGTTTAGGCTTTTTGTTAAGGGTTTTAAGTTTTGAAGGAGGGTTTTGTTCTTTTCTCAAGCTTCTGTTTAGGTTTGAAGACTTTCGCGGGCTTCAAAGGGTTGTTAGGGGACTTGGGGGTTTAAGGGCGTTAAGGGATTAGGGGTGAAGTTCTTGAGAATCACATGATAAATTGGGATTATAATTGGGGGGGGCTGCCGCAGGGTTTATGGCTCAGATTCTAGCACTCAACGTTTGGGGCTTAGGGTCCAAGGCAACCTCGCGCGCTGAACAAGCCGCCGTAAGCTTCCTGGTGTTTAGGGTTTAGGGTGTAGGGTTTAGGTTTTTTTGGGGGTTTAGGGTTTAGGGAGTTTCGCTGCCTGTTGCACCTTAATTATCGGCTTGCCGTACTGCTCTCGCTACGTTCTTACAGGGTGTGAAGCGCGAAGCTTCAGCCTGCAATACTTTAACCTGCCAGTACTACGGCTGATGATATAAATCCTGCATTACCTTAAGGATCCTAAACTACGAGAGTAATGGTATGTTTCTTCTTATGGGTGGTTGTCAAAATTAGGGTCCCGCTTTGGGTACGTATTATGATACGGCACCTAATATTTAGGGTACCCAAAAAGGGACCATAATTTTGACAACCACCCTTATGGGTAATGCAGGATTTATATCATCAACAGTATGATCTTTGTAGAACCACGCAGTGACGGCTTTGCAAGACCAGAACAGGACAAGGAACACTGATTTCCAAACCTTCATGGGTTGACTGCTTTAGTTTGAGGCTTTGGAGGGGTGAGGCTTAGGGTTTGTGGGCTTTAGGGCTTTGGGGTATCGGGTGTTTGCCCCTCTGCATGTTATGGAGGACTCGGGGCTAAGGAAGACACTGAACTCCAAGCCCTGAGCCCTAAAGCCTAAAACTATATCATTTCATTCCACTATTGACTCGTCATAATTGTTTAGGAATCAGGGAAACCCCCATGCAAAAATCCCACAAGATGCCCCCAAACCAAACACTACGCGAGTGAAGGTACATAGAACAGTAGTAGCATTCCAAAACATTTCTTGCGGCGCTCTTGAAAGGATTCAGGGCTGTGGCAGAATCCAAGCAAACCATCAGCCTCATACAAAAGTGTAAGATGCCCCCAACGACAAACACGCCCCAGTCCCCTCCAAGTGGAGAGGTCCTCGTTCTTCAGGTGTGCAAGGGCTCGGTTGCAGAAGAGCACCTCGGTTTCTTAAGGCTTCTGGAAGATCTGATAAGGCTCCGATGCGGGCTCCATCAACGTTCTTTACCGGTTCGTACAGTAGCAACCTTAAATGTTCAGGGCTTTGGGCAATTGGTGTTTTGAAGGTGTTGTTCGGGCTCACTAAATGGGAACCACAGGGGACTATACAGGATGGACCAAGAGGTGTGCGGCTTAGGCTTCGGGGCTTAGACTTTAAAGCGTTAAGGTTGAGATGAGAAGGCTCCAAAAAAAGCTTCATAACAGTGAGATGGCGCGACTCAGTACCGGGGACTTGACGTGCAGTAGACCGTATCGGCTGCGGGGCGAGACGTTCCCAGCCCCCTTCACCTCTCCCTACCCAATCGAGCCTAAAGCTTATCGAAACCCGGAAGGCCCGGAGTCCTCTGGAAAGGCTTAACCACAAGAAAAGACAGAACCTTAAATCCAAAAACCCTAAAGCCTGAACCCCCCGGGGGCCGTAACCAAACAAGCAAGCAAAGTGCTATAAGCCCCTAAACCCCAAACCTTAAACCCTATACGGCCTTATACACCCTCGGAGAAGGCCCCCTTTACGACGCGACCCGGGCCCAAGGAGCCTAATATAGTACCCTAAATCGTAGGATCCTTATCATAAGGACCCTAAAATAAGGTACCCCTAATTTTCAGAGACTCCCAAACCCCTAATTTAGAAACCCCAAAATAAGTTAAGGTACCCCTAATTTAGATCCCTTTTCAGCCAAGGAGCTAGGTCTGGCGACGGAGCGGCATCCAAGGCCTCGGTATACGCCTCGGAGAATCCTACACAAGTGGGTAGTTGTCAAAATTAGGGTTCCTTTTTGGGTCCCTATTATAATACGGCACCTAATATTTAGGGTACCAACCACACAAGTCGGGTTTGAGTCGTGGGATTAAGGTTCGGGTTGAGGGTTTCAGGGTTTAGGGGTTTAGGGGTTTAGGGTTGAGGGTTGAGGGTTTAGGGCTTAGGGTTTAGGGCTTAGGGGTTTAGGGAAGGTTAGGGTTTATCGCCTCGTGTTCTTGGTTTCCTCGTACGTAGTGGATACTGAAGAACTCTCATAAGACTCTGAACAAAAACCTTACGAAACCCGTAAATTAGTGCCGGCGAAGACCCCAAACAGTATGGACGTGAAGACAGGACACATGCTATAGTGGTAGATCACGACTGTCCGCCCAAACTTTTTCGCAACTGCTGCAGCCAAGGCGGGGTTGGCTCCCGCACACCCCCGTCCAAGAACATAATTGCTCTTTTCTACTTTCAATGGTTTTCCATTGAACATAGCAAAAAACACATAGGTTTTTTGTTATTTTCAATGATTTTCAATGGCAAATGCAGAAAAAACATAGGTTTTGTGCTGTTTTGAATGGTTTTCCATTGAAAATATTAAAGAAAACACAAGTTTTTTGCTATTTTCAATGGTTTTGAACTCAAAGCGCATAAGTTTTTTGCTGTTTGCAGTGGTTTTCAATTGCAAACACAAAAAACCATTGGTTTTCTGCTATTTTCAAGTGTTTTCTGTTGCAAATACAAAAAAACCCATGGGTTTTGTGCTATTTGTCAATGGTTTTCTACTGTAAAATACCAAGCGAGCCGGCTGAGAGCACGGCAGAATAATGCTTGCAGCACCACCAAATGCATTATTCAGGCCTGGGAAAATGCATTCTCGCGTTTTCCTGACTAATAAAACCGTTTATGGTTCATGACAACCCAAGACCACGAAACCAATGCCAAAAACACAAAGTAGATTGGTGTCTGGAGACTGACCACAGGTGCATAAGCGTCCGCGACAAGCCAGATGCGTTTTTCAGGGCTGGAAAAATGCATTTGCATATGGCTGTCTAGCGACGGCTAAGTTGCGCTCTGTCGGTTTGCGGAATCTAAAGGGCTCTTTGCGATATTTCTTAAGGAAAATCATAGAACCACAAGAACAATGTCGAAAATGAAAGCAGCATTTTGGCCGTTTCCGACAAGCCGACAGCAAAGAGACACATGCCCAAATGCATTTTAGGGGGCTGGAAAAATGCATTCGGACAGGTTTCCTTGCAAATTTAGAGCAGATTTAACGAGCATTTTGGCCGTTTCTAACAAGCCCACAGCAGAGAGACACATGCCCAAATGCATTTTCGAGGGCTGGAAAAATGCATTCGGATAGCTCTCCTTGCAGATTTAGAGCATCTGCTCGCTCTGTTGAAGCAAAAGAAGAGGCAATGGGTCTCCAAATCACATCCAAATGCGTGTTTCGAAGCTGCGAAAATGATGGTTTTCAATTGGAGATACACAAAAACACATGGGTTCTTTCAATTTTGAATGGTTTTCCATTGAAAATACCAAAGAACACATAGGTTTTTAGCTATTTTCAATGGGTTTGAATTACAAACACATGGTTTTTTTGCTATTCTCAGCACACACTGTGGTGGTGAAAAGATCAATAAAGGCGCCCAGTTCATTGTGATGGTCATAAAAGAAGGAGAAAAAGGGATGCGGGACACTTCTTATGGCGGCGTTTTCCTTTGTCTTAAAGGAAGAATATTTGGTTGGGACATAGCCATCCTTCCGCACCAGATGAAACAATCCAAAATAAACCGTTTGACAATGATATATTTTTTTGGTTGATGGCCAGCTCTGCAGTGTTGTGGTTGTCGTTTGTCGTATTTCAGAAATAAAAGAACCATAAAAGAAACACACGACAGAGGAATGCTTGCAGCACCACCACATGCATTATTCAGGCCTGGGAAAATGCATTCTCGTGCGTTGCTGACTAGTAGAATCGTATATGGTTCAAAACAACCCAAGACCACGAAACCAAAGCCAAACATCGAAAGTAGATTGCTGCCTGGAGACTGACCACTACTGCAAAAGCATCCGTGACAAGCCAGATGCGGTCTTCAGGCCTGGAAAAATGCATTTGCCTGTGGCTTTCCGCCGACGGCTAAGTGAGGCTCTTTCGGTTTCGCGGAATCTAAGGCTCTATGCGATATTTCTTAAGGAAAGCCATAGAAATTCAAGAGAGAGCATTTTCGAAAATGAAAGCATTTTGACCGTTTCCGACAAGCCCACAGCACAGACACATGCCGAAATGCATTTTAGGGGGCCGGAACAACGCATTCGGACAGGTCTCCTTGCAAATTTAGAGCAGATTTAACGAGCGTTTTGGCCGTTTCCGACGAGCCCACAGCAGAGAGACACATGCCCAAATGCATTTTCGAGGGCTGGAAAAATGCATTCGGATAGCTCTCCTTGCAGATTTAGAGCATCTGCTCATGCTCTGTCGAAGCAGAAGAAGAGGCAATGGGTCTTCACATCACATCCAAATGCGTGTTTTGAAGCTGCGAAAATGATGGTTTTCAATTGGAGATACACAAAAACACATGGGTTCTTTCAATTTTGAATGGTTTTCCATTGAAAATACCAAAGAACACATAGGTTTTTAGCTATTTTCAATGGGTTTGAATTACAAACACATGGTTTTTTTCTATTCTCAATGGGTTTTCAATTTAAACACAAAAAACCCTGGTTTTCTGTTATTTTCAAGTGTTTTCTGTTGCAAATACAAAAAAACCCATGGGTTTTGTGCTATTTGTCAATGGTTTTCTACTGTAAAATACCAAGTGAGCCGGCTGAGAGCACGGCAGAATAATGCTTGCAGCACCACCAAATGCATTACTCAGGCCTGGGAAAATGCTTTCGCGCGTTTTCCTGACTAATAGAATCGTTTATGGTTCATAACAACCCAAGACCACGAAACCAAAGCCAAACATCGAAAGTAGATTGGTGCCTGGAGACTGACCACTACTGCAAAAGCATCCGTGACAAGCCAGATGCGTTTTTCAGGGCTGGAAACATGCATTTGCCTGTGGCTTTCCACCGACGGCTAAGTTTGGTCTAAGGCTCTATGCGATATTTCTTAAGGAAAGCCATAGAAATTCAAGAAAGAGCATTTTCGAAAATGAAATGAGCATGTTGGCTGTTTCCGACAAGCCCACAGCAAAGAGACACATACCCAAATGCATTTTCGAGGGTTGGTAAAATGCATTCGGATAGCTGTCCTTGCAAATTTAGAGCATTTGCTCGTGCTGTGTCGAAGCAAAAGAAAATGCAATGGGTCTTCCAAAGCATATCCACATGCGTTTATCGAAACTGCGGAAATGATGGTTGTCAATCGCAAATACGATGAAACACAGAGGTTTGTTGCTATGTTGAATGCTTTTATAAAGTGGACGCCAAAAAGTTGGAACACACGCATCCTGGCACTCAGCACTCCATGAGCGAGCGCGTGCAAGTTCCAATTTTGGCATTATGTTCCAAAGTTGGAACCTCTTGACTGGACCGGCTGGCAAACCCAGCGCGGATGTCATCAATGTGGGGCCATGGATGATATGGACATCATTATGATTGAAGGTGGGGGGGCCCCTCTGGGGCGGGGAAACAACCCACCCTAGCACTAACTTAAACCCTAAGCCCAGCTTCCCTTGATTAGGGGACCGAAAAAAATATAAAACTAAACGCTGGGCCCTAAACCCGACCTAGCCCCTAAAATTTGGGGAGCAAGGCCCTAAACCCTATGCTGGGGTTTCTCCTGCAAAATTGGGGACCTCAGCGAAACCTTATGCCTGGTTTCCCCCTTCGGGGGGCCTAGGCAGGTATGTCCTAAACCCTAAACCAAGCCCTGAAACGAAACCACCCCTACTCGCAAACCGCAACCCTACGAAGCGGGGAGGGCGGGGGGCGGGTTGGGAGGGCGGGTTTGAGCCAACACAAACACGCCTATATACAGAAGCATGGGGAGGCGTCAGTGCTCGAGTGTGTGTTTCATGTCCTTTGACGATCCATGGGGCCATACCACTGACTAGCGATATTGTCGTGGAATCCCCGTACATGTATCTCTCTGCAATACTGGCGCGCCCGTAGTGCAATACTGGCGCACCCGTAGTAATGAATTGCAAGTTCCCTGTCTGCCATGCTGCAAGGGTCGCAGTAGTTACAGCTTCAGTACCTATCTCTGCAATGCTGGAGGGGTCGTAGTAGTTCCAGTTTTCCTCTTTCTGCAATACTGGAGGGGTCTTTTTCTCTCTACAATACTGGAGCGGTTGGAGTAATTGCAGTTTCTCTTTCTCTGCAACACTGAAACGGTCGTGGTAATTGCCGTCCCCCTCTCTTTGCAATATTGGAGCGGTCGTATTGATTGCAGTTTCTTGCTGTTTGCAATACTGGAGTGGTCGTTCCAACTTTCGAGCCGCATGCCACCCATCCAAACTCCGCGGGCCCCCAGCTCCCGAGCCACGTGCCACCCATCCAAAACCACGCCCAACTCCTGAGCGGCGTGGGTGCTGGGGCCCGCGGAGGTGGCACACGGCTCGGGAGCTGGGGGCCCGCGGAGTTCCGGGGAGTTTGGATGGGTGGCACGCGGTTCGGGAGCTGGGCCCGCATGTGGATGGGTGGCACGCGGTTCGGGAGTTTATATGCCCGCCATTTTGGATGGGTGGGGAGTTGGGGGGCGCGGTTTTGGATGGGTACGCGGCTGGGGAGCTGGGGGCCCGCAAAGTTTGGATGGGTTGGATGGGGCACGCGGTTCGGGAGCTGGCGGCCTGCGGAGTTTGGATGGGCGGCGAGCCGCGGGCCCCCAGCTCCCGAGCCGCGTGCCACCCATCCAAAACCGCGGGCCCCCAACGTGCCACCCATCCACACTCCCATCCAAACTCCGCGGGCCCCCGCTCCCGAGCCGCGTGCCACCCATCCCGCCAGGCGCGTTCCCTTTTCTTTTGAGGAGAGGACCCCAACAGTTCCTGTTTGGGGAATAAAACCTTATAGTAACCCTCAACCCGCATAGAAAAAATGGAACCAAACTATTTATGGAACCCTGCATAGTAACCAGATGCCTTATCACACCTCGAAAGGAGTAAAACCAAATACGAGTAGTAATCGTGAAAATCATGTAGCAACCAGGATACCACTCATGAGACCTGGTCCTCAAACAAGTACATACCAGTAAACGGAAAAGCATTAGGCCCTAGCAAACCCTTAAAGGAACCCTCAACGGCCCCTCGGTCCCCCCCATTCGTTTTGGGGAGTTGGGACTCCAGGATCTAAAGCTTAGATGTTGGGGGACGGTTACGGGATTTACAGCAGCAAAACCTTATCAACATCGCTATCCAATCCTCATACAACCCTTCTAGAACTAGAACCCCTCAAGGCCCAAAGAGCCCTTTTAAACCCCAACAACCCTAAACCCTAAACCCTAAACCCTAAGCCCTAAACCCCAAAAAACCCTAAACCCCAAAACCCTAAACCCTAAGCCCTAAACCCCAAAAAACCCTAAACCCCTAAACCCTAAACCCTAAGCCCTAAACCCCAAAAAAACCCTAAACCCCAAAACCCTAAACCCCAATAAAACCCAAAACCCAAAACCCTAAGGGCCCCTGTTAATCAAAAAAAAAGCCGCCAAAGGCGCCTCGATGGCCGCGGAAAATTTCGACTCCCCGAAGAGAGCGTTGCCTTTAGGGTTTAGGGTTTTAAGGGTTTTAAGTTTTTGGGCTTAGGGTTTTAGAGTTTAGGTTTTAGGGTTTTAGGGTTTAGAGTTTGGGGGCCTAGGGTTTAGGGGCTTAGAGTTTTGGGTTTAGGGTTTAGGGGTTTACCACTATGGGCTATTAGACCCTAAAGATCCCTATTAGGACCCTATTAAGGGTAGATTAAGGTACCCATAAGTTTAGAGTTTTGGGTTTAGGGGCTTAGAGTTTTGGGTTTAGGGGTTTAGGGGCCTGGGGTTTAGGGGCTTAGGGCCTAGGGTTTTGGGGTTTAGGGGCTTAGAGTTTTGGGTTTAGGGTTTAGGGGCCTAGGGTTTAGGGGCTTAGGGCCTAGGGTTTTGGGGTTTAGGGGCTTAGAGTTTTGGGTTTAGGGTTTAGGGGCCTAGGGTTTAGGGGCTTAGGGCTTAGGGTCTTGTTGGGTTTAGGGCTTCGGGCTACCTACTGGGGCCATCGAGGGCGGCTGGCGAGTTCTTGGGTGCTTTTGTGCTCCTGGAGTTTAGGGCCTAGGTTTTGGAGATGAAGGGCTCAGGGATTAGGTTTGGGGGATGAAGGACTCAATAATTAGGGTTTGGCTGTTGAGGTTTCGAAGACTTTTGACTTCTGGACTCTTGTGGCCTGTACGGCCTTTCCGATGTAGGGTCTGTTTCTGCTGCTGCGCTTTGGAGCTCCAGTCTCCTGTCTTCGAGCTCCAATGCTTGGAGAGGCAGAAGAAGACGGTATGATTGGAATGGGAGTTGTTGCATTGGGTATGATTGGAATGGGAGATCTTGTATTAGGTATGATTGGAATGGGACAAGCTTTTACAGTACATCGCAAGCCACTGAGGCTCACAAGGAGATCACCGCTGCCCTTGAAAGTTGGTTTTGGAGAGTCTGCTGTGTGAACTTGCCTTGTGTAGTTCCCAGGTTGCGGGAAGTCCCTCTGTAGCTCTTGATCTTGGTTTGAGGCCTTATGCAAACCGCCGTCACCCTGAAACCACTGAGATGCTGGTGGCGGCCTCTCTGTCGTGCCGTAGCACTCCGCTGCGCCGCAGGGCAAAAGAAAGCTGCCTGGGGAGAGAGGCAAGGCTCCTTTCAGGGAGGTATTCTTGAGCTATATTCCTATGTATGTGTGTATATATACATACATATACATGTATATTCACATTTATGTATATATATATATACATGTAATATGTGTATGTGCATATATTTATATATATATATATATATATATGTAATACAGATGTATTTATTTATTACGTACATACCTACAGATGTACATACATCCATCTTTGAATGCATGCAAACGTATACATATATACTATATATATATATATATACATATTTGTACATAGATATATATATATATATATATACATATGTAACGTGGGTTGTTTTGCATGACCAAGTTCTCAGACATGCTCGCCTTTGTTAGGGTATGGGCACGAGCTACTACCGTCACACTATGGTAGCATCCCCCACCCCAAGGGATAACCCTATGTCAGGGCATGCAGAGCACAGGCCACAATCGCAAGGAACGGTGCATCTGCATTTCGTCAAGCTCTTGCTTCGCTCCCTATGGCTCAGGAGTCTGCAAAAAGACGTGCGATGCGGTGGTCTCTGGAAGATCTTTCTTGAGGCTGATCGCCATAGGCCATGGGGTTCAGGACCTGTCGTGGGTTTGGGGGCATTAGGGTCTTAGAGTCTTAGAAGTCGTCATTGATGGGTCTTGTGATTTGGTGGCATAGGCGCTCTCTGGACGGTTGGAGCGCTGCGCGGAACAGGGCTTAATCCCACGAAACCTTCCTCGCTCCACCCGCAACGCTGCTTGTCCTCCTAGGTCACCCTCACTCTGTCTAGAGTCTAGACTAGATGGGTGAAACGGGTCAATCAGTTCCACTTGTACGCCCAGTGCGGGTACTTGGTTCGGAATTCCTCGCGCAAGTCCACGATAAGGATGTGCCTCATCTCATCATGCCTTTCGTTCTGCATGATCGCGTTGCGGGCCTTCCTGTAGTCCTCCCAACAGCGGCTCCACTCCACGTCACCGCCCCACCAGCGCTTGATGCTGTTGTAGACTTCCTTTGCATTGAACGACAGCCAGGCAAGACACCCAGCCCCCACTGTCTGCAATGCTGTTCCGACAAAGGCATCCGCAAGTTGGATTTTTCCAGACAGCATTGACGGTGATGGGGCCACAAGCAACAGAGCGAAGAACAGCATTGATGTGCCGCAACGACGCATCATCTCGCAGGTGACTTCAATCCTCTTCCGCGGGTCCTGTTTAAAGGAGTTGCCTCGACCGGGAAATCCCTGACTATATACGAGCCGGAGCCGCGGGCACATCGAACACTGCTGGGCAATGCCTTCAACGAAGTCAATTTTTTTGGGATACTTCAGACTCGTCGCTTTAGGCTTTAGGACTTCGGGTATTCCCAGCAACAACCTAGACACCATCAACCGAAGATGACAAGAGGGCTGTCGTAGAACTTAGTCAAGGATATGGCGCCCAGGCATGTGTCTAAGGCTGTTTCAACCATAGCGCATATCATAGACCTGTATAGATGCTTATAGATTTCTCATGCTCCTTGCAGCTCATTCCTCTAGTCTTGTTTGATTTGGGAACAGTCTTCTCAAAGTCTGAGTGTTTCCTGCTGAGGTTTTTGCATTTCTGTATTTTGTGATTGCACCCAGGACATGTAACAATCCGCGCTTCTGATCCTTTTCCAACCCGGATAATTCGCTTCGCATGCCTGCTATTTCCCTGCACGCATTGCATGTCTTATAGCTCTCGTCGATATTTTCAAGCTTCTGCAGATATTACAGAGACTTACTGCAATATCTCCTATAGTGCTCAGCCTATATACATGCCACTTCTCCGAAGATGAATTGTCGAAGCGTTCGGTACCAGGTCAAGTGCCCGCAAAGAAACCAATGAGAATTCTTACCAGATAACCACACGAAGCAACACAAAATCCTACAACATCTTGCCCAATCTCACAGCTACGCCCTTCAAACACAAGACCACACGGAAGCGAACTTAAGACCACTCCCCCGCGACCTCAAGATCACACCGACATGACCTCGTGTGTTCGCCACCAAAGCATTGGTCAACCCTCCGCACACAAGCAAAAGAGCAACAAAAAAGCACACCAAGAAATGTGGCACAACTCCACGGCATAAAACTTGTTAGGTTTTGGAACGAGCTTATGAAAGCGATGATTGTGACTTCCAGTGTTGGGTTTCTCACACCCCCTCCCCCCCCGCCCCACCCCCACCCTCAACAGCGCATCATCTTATTACACAGCTTTGCCAACAACGTCGCCTGTTCGATATGCCAAACCACAAAACCCTGATGAGGCGTAGGCCAACTCGGCGAGAATAACATTGACATCTGAGCCAAAGCCAATCCTGGGCATGTTAGGTTCCTTGTGGAGATTTGTTTAGGGTCGGCTTGCAAGGATCTTACAAGGTGTTCTACAGAAGTTGATAGGGTTCTATAAGGTTTGTCGGGAATTGACGGTGTTTTGTTCTGAAGGCTGTAGATTGAAGACTACTTGGAGGATCCTGGGACTTAGTAAGTATGGTTATCAGTACCTTAGGTGGGGGTATAAGTAGCTATAAGTACAGTTACCTTGATTATAACCCTAGTTACTAAGTCCCATGATCCTCTAAGTAGACCATAATTTTAAGGAGCCCTTTAAGGAGCCCTAGTTGCTACTGTAAGTCCCATGATTCTTTAAGTAGACCCTAAACCCTAAACCCTATAGATCCCATTAAGGAACCCTCTAGATCCCTTTAAGGAGCCCTGTAAGGAGTCCTAGTTACTAAGTCCCATGATCCTCTAAGTAGCCAGTAGTCTTCAGCTTCAGAGTTCTGGCTACTTGGAGGATCATAGGACTTAGTAAGCGCCCCTTAAAGGGATCTATAGGGTTCCCTAAAGGGATCTACGGGGTTTAGGGTTTAGGGTCTAGATAGAGGATCATGGGACTTAGTAAGTAGGTTATAATTGGGGTTATAAGTCCCCTAAGTGGGTTATCCTAATTATAACCTACTTATAACCTTACTTACCAAGTCCCATGAGGCGTTAAGTAGTGATCAGAGTTGAAAATTTCCTCAGCGCGGGGTTCTTCGAACGGCCGACGGCTCCCTGAGGTTCTTCAGAACTCTATGAAACATTGGAAACGGTTTTAGGGTTCAGGGTTTAGGGTTTAGGGTTTAGGGTTTGCTTGCGCCGAATAATCTCAAGCTCCGTGGAAGCCCCTTCACCGCAGTTGGATCGCTCAGGATTCGGCAAGACCTGAAAGCCGAGTGCGCAAACCCCGCACGTGCGCGCCAACGTCCACAGGAGCAGGGGAGGACAGTCCTATTCAAACCTAGACCTCAAGCCCCTCCACCCTCATGGTAGTGACTGATTAGGGTGTGGCGAGGGAACTCCGAACAACAATACTACCGACTATGCCACGACACCTCCCTTCCAGAATCCCTCAACCGCTAAACCCTACAGCCAAAGCCCCGGAAAAGCTGTTGCAGTCGAACCCACGTAAAACCTTGTGGCAATCAGAAACCAGATAAAAATCCGCATAATGTTGTCCTAAAGTAATGCTGACCCAAAATCCAAAATCAAATTCCAAAATGCCTCAATCCCCGCGCCAAGAAGAAAAGTTGCAAACCCCATAACCCCCAACCCTTCTTGAAACCCCTCACCAGATACCCTGAAGAATCCTCGATAGTGAAACCCTTGTCCGAAGCCGGAAAACCCTGGAAGGATCCTCACAAGACCGGTTGCAAAAATCCCGAAACCGAAACCCCTCCCCTATATGAAAAAGCCTATTACAAGCCACTTTAAAGAGCCTAAACTCTAAACCCTAAACCCCTTAGGACAGGGAAAAAACGCCGTTTAGGCTCTGCTCAGCAGACTTGGCCCAGGGAGGCAGCTCAACCTGGAAAGGGCTTTGAGGGTTTATGGGTTTAGTTTAGGGTTAACGGATTATAGGGTTTAGGGTTTAGGGAATTAGGGTTTAGGGATTATAGGGTTTAGGGTTTAGGGTTGACCTGCTTGACCTGGAGAGGGCTTGGAGGGTTTATGGGTTTAGGAATCAGTAGGGCTTTTGGGTTTAGGAGTTTAGGGTTTCTTCTTTGCTTATGGGCTCTTAGGGTTTGGGGTTCAGGGTTTAGCCTTGAGGATTTCTTCTTTAAGTTGACGTGCACCCTTTCTCCAAAGTAGCGCTGGCATTTTGCAGAGTTGAGGGTTTAGGGTTCATGGGTTTCGGTCGTTTAGGTGTAGGTTCTTGCGAGTTTAAGCCTCCGTATCTCTGGCTTTTGGGTTTTGATAGGGGTTCAGGGTGTCTGATTCCGGGTTTAGGGGTTCCGGAGTTCTGGGTTTTTGGGGTTCGCAGCTTGGCATCCCCCCCATGAGGCAGTTCCACAAATTCTTGACTTGATACACCCTGCTTCAACGATCCTTGGGAGATTAACCCCAAGCTATGGCGAGCCCTGGTGAACAAACCCCCTCCCCAACAAAGACTCAAGTAAGGATGTTACTTTGGCCCCTGAAAGAAGCCCGGTCATAGGACCGTAGTGCCGCAGTAGTCGACATTGTTCCTAGCAAAGTGGGGCTTCCCGGACTAACAGAATGGAGCTTCTGGAAAAGAGGAATCCGCATCCTCGCGGTCATGGTATCATCTTGTTGGGGGATCTCTTGCTGAGCTTGAGACTTGTTCTTCACAAGAACTGATGGCTCAAGTTCGCACTCTCACTCAGTGTATGTAACCAAAGGTCTATAGGGTTTTAGAGGGTGTGATAAAGTTTTGTTCGGGCTTTATGAAGCCCTGAACCCCAAACGCAGAGACTTTATCTCGGACCCCTAAACCAGCAAAGCTTCACCTTCTCCAAAGAGCACGCAAGCTCTAACCCTTAACTCCAAGCTCGAAACCCCAAGCCCTAAATTCTAAACCCTCGACAGGGACCTCCTCCATGCAGCAACCTTTTCTTCATAAGGGACGGGCTGAGAACTGCCACACATACTTTCCCAAACCCTAAGACTCCTGTAAGAGCCTTGATATAGCGATGAAAGAAACCGCACCAGAAACCTCCCTAGAACCCGAAACCCCTAAAGAAAACCTCCCGAGGTCAAACTCTCCATAATACACAAAGACCTGATGCAACATGACACAACCTTAGCATCTGCAGCTCTGAGATATCACTAAACCCACATCCAAAAGCCCCCTATAATGTGCCAAATAATGGTCATATAATAGCTATATTAAGGGCATATACCTACAGGTCCTTATTAAGGGCCCGCTTCCGCCTGCATCTCAGCTGTCGCCGCCCGCCGCTTCCGGACGCAGAAGCGGCAGACTGTCTCGCCTCAGTCACGGGGTTGAAGCTACTTAGAGGATCATGGGACTTAGTAACTAGGGTTATAATTCAGGTAACTGTACCTATAACTACTTATATCCCCACTTAGGGTACTTATAACCTTACTTACTAAGTCCCATGATCCTCCAAGTAGAAGGGCTCTGAAAGGGCTCTCGGGAATATATGGTTTAGGCCTTCAGGGTTCTATACGGCCTCTACAAGGATTTCAGAGGTTACGTTCCATGCAATTCTATGCGGCCTTTAAAAGAGCTCAAGAAAGGCTAGCGGAGCTTATGGCTCAAGGCCTCCAAAAGAGTTACAAAAAGGTTTAGGGAAGCTGGGGTCGAGTCAAGGGTGTTCTGGGTTTAGGGTACAAGTTTGTTAGGTGTTTCGGGTTTTGCGGCTTTGAGGCATTGCTCTCTTGGTAGAGGGCCGGAAAGCCTTAGCGCTCCTAACGCTGAATCAAGCCGGCGGGGCTTCAGAGGGTGCTTGCGGCAATGATGGCTTAGGATTCTAAGGGTTTTCAGGGTTCTTCATCTTGACTTGTAGAATTTGAAGGGTTTTGTGCCGCGATGGTTTGGATAATTAGGCTTCCTGGATTCGGAACGCTGGGGAGTCTTAGGGTTCCGAAGCTTTCGGGAGTCTTAGGGTTCTTAAGGGCTGCGGAGTCTAGGTTTAGGACTTCAGGTGGTCTGGGATTGAAGGATGGTTTAATGTGGGAACTTGATTAAGAAACCTTGGGCCCTTCTTAGGGCCCCTTTTTATGAATCCTACTATGTTGGGGATATAGGTTCCTACATTACTCTGCTTTTGTGCGGGTGCGGATGTAGGTTTCGGGGTTCAGGGCTTTGGGGCTGCAGAGCCTCAGCGACTCCAGAGTTAAGTGTTCGGCGTTTTGGGGGTTTAGGGGTTTAGGGTTTGGGGGGGTTGGGGGTTCTGGGTTTAGGGGTTTAGGGGGGTTTGGGGGTTTAGGGGGGTTTGGGGGTTTAGGGGGGTTTGGGGGCTTTGGGTTTAGGGGTCTAGGGTTTGGGGGTTTAGGGGGTTTAGGGGTTTAGGGGTTTAGGGGTCTAGGGTATCGAGTTTACGGTTGGAAGTTCGATACTTCGGCCAGCGACGGCTCTCTTCGCATCGAGCTGCTTACAGGCGAGAGGGACTTCCTACTCTTGCATAAGACTTCAAAGCTTCAACGAGGCATTAATTCGCAATACTTCTTCCAGCTACATTTCTAATCAGCATGTATATGTATATGTACAGATTGAAAACTTAAACTAATGTTGATGGAATCGCTTTTGTAAACATACTCGACCTGCACTACCCCTATGCAAAAGCACCAGCAGCAGTGTCTGTAACCGGCAAACAGTGGGACGAGTCAGAATGATGATATGGTTAACCCTAAACCCTTCCGCGCTGACTTTTGTGTCAACCAGGGACAGGACGCCACGATCCGAACCTGTCGAAAAAAACTGGCTGATGGTCCTAGTATAAGTATTCTCTACGAGAAAAGATTATATCTACGGTTATATATAGGTGTATATATATACACACACATACACATACATACATGCACTAGGGAATGTTGCACTAAGCCCGCAACCCGAAACCTCAAAGCGCAACCCCTTACTGAAATACCCTCCACCCTAAACCCTCAATCCGAAACCCATTTTTTTTCTGAAACCTAAATCCTGGGACCCTTCAGCCGAAACCTTAGACCCGAAACCATAAACCCCTAAACCCCAAACCCGAAACCCCTAAACCCTGAAACCTAAGCCCTAAACCCTGAACCTTAAACCCTAAACCCTGAACCCTAAACCCGAAACCCCTAAACCCTGAAACCTAAACCCTAAACCCGATCGAAGGAGAGCGGCCATCCTCGAGCGTGGTGGGCTCAAGGAGTAGGCTCCTTGAGCTGCTGCGGGTTCGGGAATTTAGGGTTTAGGGTTTAGGGTTTAGGGTTCAGGGTTTAGGGTTTAGGGGTTAGGGTATAGGGTTCAGGGTTTAGGGTTTAGGGAATCAGGGTTTTAGGGTTTAGGGTCTAGGGTTTAGGGTTTAGGGTTTAGGGCTTTGGGGGTTTAGGGTTTAGGGTGTATTTAGGGTTTAGGGTTTAGCGGTTTAGTGTACGAATAGGGCTCAGGGTTTAGGGGTTTAGGGTTTAGGGTCTAGGGCTTAGTGTACATTTAGGGTTTAGGGTTCAGGGGTTTAGGGGTTTAGGGGTTTAGGGGTTTAGGGGCCTAGGGTCTAGGTCTTAAGGTTTAGGGGCTTCGGGTTATAGTCTATATTGTATAGGGTATACTTGGAAGCCCTGTTGACTTAGTAAGTCTACTTAGTATCCCCTAGAAACCCTATTATAATCCCCATAACCCACCTTACTAACCCTACTTACTAAGTCAAAAGGGCCTCCAAGTAGGGTTTTTACAGGAACCCCGGAAAAGACTCCTATCAAAGGCATCTGCCGAGAAGCTCGCACTGCGCGCAAGCCAGGTCTCCCGGGGGATCTATAGGCGGAACCTTGCAAACAGTTTGTACTTAGAGGATCTTGGGACTTAGTAAGGGCTCCTTAAAGGGATCTATAGGGTTCCCTAAAGGGATCTACGGGGTTTAGGGTTTAGGGTCTAGATAGAGGCTCATGGGACTTAGTAAGTGGGTTATAATTGGGGTTAAAAGTCCCCTAAGTTATAATTGGGGTTAAAAGTCCCCTAAGTGGGGTTATCCTAATTATAACCTACTTATAACCTTACTTACTAAGTCCCATGAGCCGGTAAGTAGTCATACCAAGGGGTTGAGGGTTTAGGGTTTGGGGTTTAGGATTTAGGGGTGGGGGTTGAGGGTCTAAATGGGCTATATCAGACATTCATCATTCTTCAATCACTTTCGTAAGGGAATCTTGGTGCTTCGGGGCTGAGGGTTGAGGTCTGGCGCTTGGGGTTGAGGGTATTGGGGTTTGGGGCTTTACGGCTTGGCTTGAGGTGTCTGGGGATGTGGGGATTTTGGTTTGAGGTGTCTAGTCAGAATTCCATCCGGGTTTGAGGGTTTTTAAGGGCTTACGGTTTAGGGTCGAGGGTTTAGCTTTCAAGGGCCAGGGCCTTAAGCGTTGAGGCTTTTGAGGCTCAGAGAGTGGGAGCTTGGGATACCCGGGTTGTCGCCGTTACAAGCTGCCCGACACCCTAAACTATAGCCTTAAACCCAAAACCCTAAACCCTAAACTAAAGCCTAAACTTTAAGCCTTAAACCGTAAACCCCAACCTGCGACCACACAAGAACTCTGCTGAGCCGTTTGAGTTGAGGCTTCAGGGCTCGCGGCTCCATGAAGCCTTAAGAAGATTCCTCTTTCGGGTAGCTTAGGGGCTGCCACCTTGCATGAAATAGCTGTACCCAGAGAGTCCAATACCCCTTAATTAAGGAATATACCCTAAACTATAGTAGGGTCCCTAATATGATTTAAGGTATATTCCTTAATTAAGGGGTATTGGAGTCTCTGGGTATCAGTCAATGAAGCCTCAACATCCTCAAAGCTCAGGGTTTAGGGTTTAGGGTTTAGGGTTTATGGTTTCAGGTTGGCACATCAAGTTATTGGAACCTGCTGCCTGGTAAACAAGGATTTCGCTCTGTTTGCTCAAAAGCTTTAATGTAAAAGTTTTGAAGGGGCATAGTATATTAGATTGTAATTAAAAATCTGTATGTGTATATATATATATATATGTAAGTAAAATGACGAATGAATCAAGACTCTCCGCGCCGGAAACCCGAAACTCAGCAACTCCCATGCATCCCGATCGCTCCAACGACCGGCCGAAAGACTGTTGAACCCTTGCTGCCACACAAGCTCAACAGCCATAAGGGCGTTTCCGAAAATCAGGCGTCCTTATCTTGGGGTCCTCAGAATAAGGATCCTACCAAATGGGGTGCTACATTAGCCTTTTTTCGGAAACTCCCATATATAGTTTAGGGTTCAGGTCGCCCGAAATGCTGAACTTGAAACCATCCGATGCAGCCTAACTCGAACAGGACGACACTCCTTACATGAGCCCATTGCAACTCCAGGGTCCCCATTAATCATCAAAATTCACAATCACAACTAAGTGGGGCGCATTATCACCTGGGAGCTAACACACAGTAACGTCGCCTGTCCCTGCGAACATAGGCACACCCGTAGCTGATTTTTGAGCTATGAGCAACCCATCTAGAATCAGTTCATACCAACTCCAAATGTGGGCAGGGAACCTCCACGTGCTTTGCCAACTCCGATATCTCCGGCAGACTGTCCATGTTCACCACGTGCGGTTTACTGCACGATCTACCAACAACCTGAACTTCTTCTTTCTGGCAAGATGTTTTCGAATCTACACATCACCTCAACTTGAAATGTTGCTTGCTTTTCACCGGAAAATCACAAACACCATACTGTGCAAACTGATATTAACATCTTTGATGCCCAAGCTGGATAAAACCCTGCCCCCTGTCCGTATAGTCTTTCGTCTGTGAAGCTGAAGCCCAGCTCGTGATGCAAAGTCCACGTTGTGCACATCTGCACAGATGCATCTATGTCTCGAAATAGCATTTCCAACTGAACTGAGATCGCAATCAGTGGGGGGTCTTCACGAAACTCAAGTGTGATACTGCTGCCCAGACTGGCATGACACACTAGGAACTTTCACCACAGGGCGGTTCAATCTGGTTGCGAAGATGCGCCCGCAATACCGGAACCATTTGTACGCTCGAAATGCCCCATGACACTCGGAACAAATGGGTACAACACAGTTCGGGCAGTTCAAGGCCATTCAATGACATCCATCTCCACAGCACACGTGGAAGAAACACGATCGACGTGCTGCAGTAATTGAACCGAATCCCGGATTTCAGGGTTTGGGGGTTTCAGAGTTTAGGGTTTAAGGATTTAGGGTGTAGCGGTTTCAGGGTTCAAGGATTTCAGGGCTTAGGGTTTAAGGATTTCAGGGTTTAGGGCTTAGGGATTTCAGGTTTAGGGATTTGGGGTTTAGGTGTTTCAGTGTTTAAGGTTGAAGGTTTTGGCTTGTGGGTTTCATGTGTCACCGCATGTGCATACGTGACTGCGTGGTTGTCTGGCTGTGAGGCTGCAACAAGTAAGGTTCTAGGTGCCTTCACCGGGAATGCCACCGTATCTACACGCAGATTGAAACGAACAGCTACACTGGAAGTCCTCAAACCGAAAACCTTAAACCCTGAACCCTGGGCCCTGCAAAACCCAAACCCTAAACAGGAAAGCCCTGCAAGCATTCCTCATACAAATCCGAGCTTCTGAAATCAAGAAAAAGCCCACAATACACCTCCAAACGCCTGTACACCTCCAATCAAAACCCTGCAAAACCCATGGGTTTCCATATCCTGCACATAGGCTAAACCCTGCAAACCCTAAACCCTAAACCATGAACCCCAAACCCTGAACCGAGAAACAACAGCCTCTTGTTTCCGCGCCCCGAACACCAAGGGTTGGTAGGGCTTTGCATTGGCTTTCTAAGGGTTTAGAGTTTGGGGTTTAGGTTATCGGCTTCATAAGTAACAAAGCTTTACCACGGCCTCTTAAAGATTTCGTTTAGGGCAAGGCCGCGAGGGCTTCAGAATGCAATTCACGGCCTTCTAGTGCTCGTGAGGTTTCGGGCTCCTCAGGGACTTCAAAGCCCCTGAGGAATAGACTTCAAACGGTCGGAGAATCCCAAGCTTTGAACAAGTTGCTTCTCCTACAACGGCCTCCAGAGGCTTGCGTAAGGGGTTAAGTTCTTTGGGAGGGCTCGTGTTTTTGGATCCAAGATGGCAAAGCGATAGGCATTTTTCCATCCACAACAGGAACACTGCCAAGAAGATCCAATCATCGTCTTCCGACGAGCATGCAGTGCAGCTTCAATTGCTGTTTACTTGCCTTGATGCAAGACGTTCTGAAAGAGCATCCGCCACTGTGCGATTGCACTCAAACGTGGGTTTATCTACAGTCTGGGCACGTGCAGACTTGGGAGGAACCTATCCCACTGTGGAGCATCCCATCGCGGTAGGGCTCTCGACCATGAGGAGCATCCAAGCCACGGCGATCAAGGCAACAGCTGGAAGAAAAAGGTCAGCAATGTCGAGAGATGTGGCGTCGGAAACTGTGCCAAAGAGCGGTGGGAGCGAGATACCACCTAAAGCAGTGACTGTCTTCCAAAGGCCAAGGAATTGGGTGCGAGCTTCGGGGGGAGTCAAGCTTGTGGCGAATGCATTTAAAGTGCCCCCGCAGATGCCATTGCCCAGACCGTAGACAAAGGCAGCAACGGCCAGAGTCGCAGAGTCCCGTACAGAGGAGAGCACTGCAAATGCCCCGCTCATCAATAGCATGGAGGGAACAGCCGCGGCTTTTAGGCCATACTTGTCCAAAACATGGCCTGCAAGAAAAAAAGGTGACGGTGGCATCGAATGCCCGAATGCCCGCAACGGCAAGCCCAATTGCGACCTTGCTCAGTCCGATGTGGTGCCCGCGCAACGTCAATGCAACCATCCAAGTGCCGCGGATTCCTGACAACATTGCGCAGTATGTGCCTGCCCCAGCTAGCGAGCGCCAATGCTGGTGCAGAACCGCTGACAAACTGATTGCAGCCGCAGGCTGGCGACCAGAACCAGTTCGCATATCTCCGCTTACCTCGGGGCTGAGCTCTGTACAACTTTTCCTGCAAATACAGCTATGACCGGTAATGAGAAGCAAGGCGCTGAGGGACAAAAGAGCCTGTACGAGGAAAATGCTCCGGGAGGACATGTTCTCAGCCACGACCCCACTCAGCAAAGCTGAGATCATCACTGTCCACTTCTGCAGACTAGCAAGAAATGCTAAGACCCGTCCCCGGATGCCAGAAGGCACCTCAGCAGCTATGTATGCTTTCCGAGAAATGTCAAAGGCAGTGGCACCTGTTGGGTAGGTTTAGTCAGACTTCTTTGTTGAGCTGGGCCAACAGCAGGGGCAAGGGCTTCACAATGGCACTTCTATGTTGACTCCACCCCAGTGGGAAGGCATAACCCCCTATTCACCAAATTTCTCGTCTGAATTCTGAAAGAATGCTCCCAAATAGAAGCCTCCTAAGCCCAAGACGGGAAACTGCGGCCTTGCTAGAAGATCTTAGCCTAGCGGCCCAGCCACAGTTATAGCAGACATGGGAACCCATGAATGGCAGATGATCAGGCACCGAGGCCACCAACCAACCGGATCGCCAGCAGCATGTAGACCTGGGTTGTAGTTTTGGGGCTCTGAAAAGTATTTATGAATAGGTACCTCTATAGGAACTGTGAAAAGCGGAGGATTCCACTCAACTCTCGGTCACAAAGCCCAAGGCAGCCGATCGCAGATCAAAGCAAAGCAAGCGATGCAAAGCAGGACAATCAGAGATTAAAACCGTAAGATAGACGCTCAGCGGAAAGACAACACCAGAACCCCCAGGCTCTAGCGGATCTTTTGCTGGGACTCGCGCATGCGGTCCTTGAGCAGTCAAGCTGCGTAGTGAGACAAAGTTGGCGTGAATCCTAACCAGAAGGCAGAAGCACATGTACGCATGTCTGTGACAAATCACACCCCCCTCGACGCGAGCTCACGCGTGAGAAGAGCGGAGTTTAGGAGAGTCACACATTCACTGATTGTGCACCGAGCCACACCTCTTCCGGCCAGCAAAGCTTGAAGCAATTAAGAACCATTAGATGTGGGTCGGTCTCTGCATCTGGATCATACCTATGTTTCACTTCTGTACAAACGCAGCCTTTTGTGATCGTCAGGCGCATAGCGAATTGCCGTGTGATCGTTGGCAATCGGATGTTCCATCGGATCTATGCGGGTTTTACACATTAGACTCAACGCGCTCAGAGTGAGAACTCGGCAGCATCGAGTGTCCGTGAAAAGAGAGGGACACACGAGGAAAATACCATGGCTAGCCATTGTACCCCTGTGGGTCTTCTCAGCGCGGCGCAGGCAAGGAAAGCTGAGGAAGTAGCGGAAATTGTATCATAGCTGGGTTTCACCATCAGAATCCGCCTGACCCAACTGACGTGTGGAACATGGGTCAGAAAGACTCAACCGGATTCACCTTGCAGTGACACAATACGTCGCCACGTAGGTCGACGGTCGTTACCTACGATTTGTGGGGCTACGGGTTCGGTCCTTGTTTCCTCGTCCAGGACCGCCCCTTCCTTTGTTTCCCTTATCACCCTTCCCTCGGCCTTTCTCCTGCTTTCCTTTTCCTTTCTCGGCTTTCCCTTTTCCTTTGCCCTTCGTCGGCTGCCTCGTGTCATCAGCTTCATCGATGAGGCCTGCCACATTTGAGCCAGTTCGGGATTTGCTCTTGGCCGTTGTTTCTTTGGCCGGGCCCATCGTGCGAGATCGTGGCTCAGTCGAAGCGGAATCGGATGGGGCTGGAGGTGCAGTATCCGCGGTCTCAACAACGCGCTGTTGTGGACGTCCCCGTGCCTCTGCACTTGTAATCACCCGACCAGGGGTCGGTCGCACAATCGAAGGAGCCCATTTCTCGTCGCAGGCTGACTTCGAAGGTGGGTTCGAAGCAGTGCGAACACTCGGTGCAGGGAACTTGGGGTTGATCCGCTCCTGCGTGGTAGCGGATGTGCCTCCAGGCGAGGCGGTTCTTCCCGCTCCTGTTTCCTCGGCAGAGGGAGCAATCACGCCAGCCGCTTTCATGTTGATAGGGTCATCGGGATTTGCATTCATTGAAACGATGACGTTGGCGGCTTTCTTCCTGACAACAGGCAGCGTGTTCGGTGCGTGATACATGCGAATAATACCTTTATTCGTCGGGTTGTCCAGATCAGGTTCCGGAACCCGGGTCTTCATTCGCAGTACCAAGGGTAGACCCATTTGATCGGAGTAGGACGCCCTTCCTGAGACCATCAGTCTCTCCCCTTCAGCGTGGGGAACATTGTAGCCTGATTGCCTCGGCATCTTCCGACTCGGTGGATTTGATGGAGGCGGCATTTCGCGAGGCGGGGGCGGGGTCGTCTCAGGAGCGACACCTCGAGATGCTCTCGTCCAGTGCGTTGTGACGTCGGACCGGGTCGGATCGCCCGTTCTAGCTCAGCATCATCCTCATCCTCATCATCCGGAGGAACGGGGACGGCATGAGCCTCGGGAATCGACGCTTGTCGTTGCTCGGTGGCTTGCACTCTGCGCTGAGGCGTATCATCACGCCGTCGTGCCTGCCGAGCTGCGACGTCGAACTGTCTGTGAGGCTCCTCCAGTTCATCGGGTAGAGCCTCGAAGACATCTTCATTCCTGTTCATCAGAACAGGATCAGTGCTCTTAGCATCGGGGAGCTGACCCTTTATGCCTTCAACAAGAGTGAAGAACGTCTTCTCAGTCGCGCGATCATCGTCGAACCACTCCTTTATCTTGACAGAGTGATCACGAACGAACTCCTTGAACTCCTTACGCTTATTTTCCAACGAAACTTCCGTTAGCGCGCGTTTGGGAAACCCTAACTGCGCTGCAGAGGAACCCTGTGCAAAGCACTCACTCTTTTTTCTCCTAGCGGACATGGGGGGTCAGTTCGGGCCCGATCTTCGGGCACTGAAGAAGCGATGCCACTGGCATCTTGACTGGAAAACTCGACCGCTGGTCGATGGTAAGGCGAACGACTGGTTCACCCCCCCTACAAGGGACCAACCCGTACAACGGGAGAATAAGGTGAAACATGCTTTGACCTACTGGGTCACTGCAGCTACCAGATGCTACTCTGTATTCTTGACGGCCTACGGCCTATGTACAAAAGCGCACTCTGTGCTGACGCTTCTCTGCTAGAGAAAGCATGGGAGCGCTGCTCCTGGCAGCTCTGCTGCCTGTGCGGTGTCCCAGACCCCGCATACTATACAGGGTGTGGTGGGTGGGATAAAAACTTTTGGATCACAGATCCAACTTCAAGCCGAAAGCTGCACGGCAAAGTTTGTCTAGTGTAACCCACACGCAAGCGAAAACACTGTTTTCCTTTTTCGACAAACTTTGTCTACACTTTCGGCGGAAAATAAAACCCATTCACGCACGCATGATGGATGCTTATTTTCCAACGAAACTTCCGTTAGCGCGCGTTTGGGAAACCCTAACTGCGCTGCAGAGGAACCCTGTGCAAAGCACTCACTCTTTTTTCTCCTAGCGGACATGGGGGGTCAGTTCGGGCCCGATCTTCGGGCACTGAAGAAGCGATGCCACTGGCATCTTGACTGGAAAACTCGACCGCTGGTCGATGGTAAGGCGAACGACTGGTTCACCCCCCCTTGAAGGCACTCGAAGCCTTACTCACCCCCCATTCAGTCCGCGCCGAGTGACAAAGCCAACGGCACTGCGTTGGGCGGCAGGTATTGGCGCGCTGCGCCAAGCCTCTGAGTTTCTTCCCACCAGTCTCTGCTGGGGCCATCAGCGATGTTGCTGTCTGTCGGGACTCGAAAGAAAGCAGCCCTGCATTGCAGGGACTCTTCGAAGTCCACCGCTTGCGATACTATCGCTGCGCCTTCGACTTTCCTTGTGAAGGCCTTGTGCAAGGAGGTGCGCGCTGCGTCGTTGTCTATCCAGACGAACAGGTCGCTGCCTGCGATGTGCTTTGCCCACAGCTGAAGGCTAAGCAAATAGGGCAACAACTCGCACTCGTAGACCAACTGCTGTTTCTGTGCCCTGGCAACCCACTGGGCTGCTACCACTGGGCTGCTACCTGGTTGCTAATTTGCAGACCCCAGGTGAAGGCGATGCCTTCTCCAATGAGCACTGCTCCGAGGCCACACTTGGGCACGAGTCGTGGGGTTTCCCACTCACAGGCTCCATCGATGTACAGATGGATTTTCCTGCGTGCATGGATGGACACTGTCCTGGGCGGTCCGTGCACGACTCTTTGGAGTAGAAAAGCCATGGCTTGGCACTGCTGCTCGGTGAGGGGGACTTGCTCTGGTCCATCCCCAGGGACGTCGCCGACGCAGATCACTGCCATGCGGGTGTTGCGGCCCCAGGCCTGCTGCTCTGCGAAGATGAGCGGGCCGCGCAGGCTCTGCGCTTCCAGGGGTGACATGCTCCCGCGCGTGAGGGCCTCGCTGAGGACCATACCCAGCTCTGCTGCCCGGGTCGGCTTGTTGCTGACGGAGATCTCTCCGAGGTGTTGCTTGGACAAGTCGACTCGCACGCCCAGCACGTCGAAGACCTCGCTGAAGTCGGCGTTTTTCTTGGGCTCTGTGGCCACTTGCCAGCCTAGCTTGTTAAAGAGGTTGGTCACTGCCAAGGTGACGAGCTTCGCGTGCGCGCTGCGCGTGAGAACCGTGAAATCATCGAAGAAGCTCGTCATCACCAGAGCAAGCTTCTCGCGGCCGATAGCTTTCAGCGCTTCGCTGCAGCGCAGAAAAGCGTGCACAGCGGCCACTGCGCCGAAAGGCATGCTATGCAGGTGGGC